TTCTGATGGAGATTTTGTTGGAGGTTATGAATGGTGTATTGAACAAGTACGAAATTCTACATATCTTGAATTAGCTAGTGGTCTTGAAATTCAAAAAGCTATTGCTTATTTACGTGAAGATAATTTTCCTAAGGTTAGATGAAAAACAAAAAAGAAAATTAAATAATTTAAAACAAAAAAACAATATTCTTCTAGGCAATTTCTACATTGAAAGAATTTGAAAAAGCTGAAGCAAAATTAGCAAGTGCAGGTTTGTATAATGATTTGAAAAAACAAAGTACAAATGAATTTATTTATAAATAAAAAAAATTTCTTTTAGCTTCTACAAATTTATCATTTTTATACTTTTTGGTATAAATACATTTTTATTAAAAAAAAAAAAAAAAAAAAAAAAACAATTTTGTTTTTTTTAAAGGAAAAAGATTTAAATAATGCACATAAATATGCTGATTTAGCTTTAAAAACTGATAAATTTAATCCAGCTTGTATGTAACAACAAAAAAAATCTTCATATTTACTCTATTAGTGTATTTCTTCTTTTTTATTTATTTATCTTCTAAAAGCTTTAACTAATAAAGGCAATTGTTGTTATGCTCAAGAAGATTATGATAAAGCTCGATATTATTATGAAGAAGCTTTGAATATTGATGCAGGTTCTGTTGAAGCTCTACATAATCTTAGTAAGTTTTAAAAATTCTTTTAATATTAAAAACAAACAAAAAAAAATTCATTTTGTTTTAGTTTTAACATTAATGAAATCAAAACAATATCAACGTGTTAAAGATCTTCTTCATAAATATACAATAATACAACCAACAAATGCACAAGTTTTTTGTTTAATGGCTGAAGTATTAGAACATACAAATGATATTGATAATGCAAAAAGTTGGTTAGTTAAAACAAAAAAATCAAACTTTTTTGTTTTTTTTTTCAAAATATGAAAAAAAACTATTTTTTTTTTTTGGCAGGTATTTACAAGCTTTAAGTACACATCGAATGGATGGACATTTACATCGACGAATAGGTGAAGTTATTGATGTACAAGGAGATAAATCTGATGCTATACAATATTATTTTGATGTAAGTTTTGCTTTTTTATTATTAAAATATTATTTTTTATAATAATACAAAAAAATGACAAAGGCTTTTCGACATAATCCGTGTGATATAAAAACATTAGAATGGCTTGCATCATATTATATCGAAACACAATATCCTGAAAAAGCTGTTGAATTTTGTGCACAAGCTGCATTAGTCAAGTAAGTAAAACAAAAAACGAAATGAAACAAAAATGTTTTTTTTTTTTTGTTTTAGACCAGGAGAAATTAAATGGCATTTAATGGTTGCTTCATGTTATCGTCGTACTGGTGATTATACAGCTGCATTAGAAAAATATAAATGGATTCATCAACATTTTCCAGATGATACTGATTGTAAGATATGAGTCCTCTTGTTGCTCGACATATTGATCTTGAATTATTATATTATTATATATTCAAATTACATGAAATTTATTCGCTATGTTAGCATTATAGTAGAAAGATTCTGATAAAATTTTCAGGAAATATTCATTAAACAAAGGTCAAAGAGTAGCTCATTGAAAATTCTCTACAGAACCTTAATCTATATATTTAATATTGTTTTAAAGAGTATATCAGCTGTAGTGTTTAACAGAATGCTTATTTTTAATTCTTATCTTTTATGCACAGGAAAAGAATAATGAATTATATATTACCAAGCACTCTCAAAAAAAAAATGAAGATCTATTTATAGAACTGCTTTTTTTTTCATATATATATATATATATATAATAATAATGCTTAATTAAGAAAAAAAGAAAAAGATTGTCACACATTGCAGCTTCACATGTTCTTTCAAACAAACAAAAAACCCATAGCATTTGATTACAATGAAGTTCTTTCGAATAGTCTAGAACAGGCGATCAAGAAAAAAAAAGAACAGAAATAAAAAAATAAATAAAACAGGTTTTTTCATTTTTTTTTTTGCCTCTGAAAAAACTGATATTATTTAAGAAGAATATGATGGAAATCATGAAAGAAAAATTTTTGCAAGAAATGAGGCGACAAAAATCATATTATATATGAAAGGTCAAATCTCAGAGAATTGTCATAGACATTTATCTTAATTTCGACATTTCGGACGAAAATTGACTTTTTTTGAGTGAAGACGACCTTAAGAAATTAGAATATCATATCTATTAAAGATATATTATATATATATATATATAAACAATACTGTCGGGTTAGATGTAAAAAAAATAAAGAACATTTTATTTGTGGAAAAGAATTCTTTTCAATAATATTTTATATATTTTTCTATCAAATTACTTATTCACTGATTTGATATAGTGGACTGCTTTTTTTTCTCCTCTAAAGAAATTCTCTTTACTAAAATGACATTTATATTAATTAATAATTTAAAAAAAAAAATTTTTATTAATATATCAACTGAATAAAGGTCAAACACAGTTCTTCTGCATATATAACTATAGGGGTAAAATCATGTCATTTAATCTAGGTCAAGAATAAGCAAGTCAAAAACAACAACAACAACAATAACAGCAATCTACACTGTGATTGTAGTACTTTATATAAAATAATTTGCATAGATATTGATACGTAGTATTATATCTTTAGAAAAAAAAATCGATTTAGACCCTTAGAAGATTAGTTTATCTATATCTGATATAATATTAGTGAAAAATCTGTATTATAGTGTAGATCGTGAATATATTACATCCAGTGTCATATGTCAATACCATATGTATTTTTCCATCATTTGTCGCTTTTTTTTCTCTATCCCTCTCTTTCCCTAGTTTGACATTCTCATGTGTGAAAGGATATTATTTCAGTTTTGATAATTATCTAACCTAGAGATGATTAAGTACAAAAAATAATTGTTGTCTACTTATCTTATCTAAAGACATGATAAGAATTTCATTCTAGGGTTTTGAAAAAGATTAATTATGAGATCATAACATTTTTGAAGATATAATTAAAAAATTATCATATTCTAGGTATACAATTTTTGGTTAAAATATCAACTGATCTTGGTTTACCTGAACGTGAAATTTATGAAAATGAATTAAAAAAAGTTAATAAAATGAAAGAAATACAACTTCAAGTGTGTTAATTTTATTTTCGATATGAAAAAATAATAATAATAAAAAAATAAATGAAAACTTTTTTTTTTTTCTTTAGCGTAAGTCAAGTGCTGATAAAAGTCGTAATATTGTTAAAGGTCGAAAAATTTCTCAAGTTGAAAATGATGGTAAAAAAAAGCAATATTTGTTTTTGTTTTTTTGTTGATCTTATTATTTATTTGAGGTTCTCATTCAAAACATGATGATAATCGTCAGTTAAGTGGTCGTAAACGTGCTCCAATTGATTTAGATCATACGGAAGGAGTTTTTTCTCAACAAGGTTTTTCTTATCAATTTGTTTTTTTTGCAATAAATATTTTTTTTTTCTAAATTTTAGAACCTGTTGCTGTTCCTTCCTTTGTTAATCAACTTTCTCAAGATATGACAGGTGGACGACCAAGAACGGCCATACTTAAAAAAGATCAAAATAAAAGTTTATTTGATGAAAATGATGATGCAGCTGAACTTTTACCCTGACTGAAAATACTGTTTATTAATTTTTAATAAATTCACAAAGGCATTTTTTTCTTCTGATCTTCTTCTTACTTTCATCTGTTTTGCAGCTGATGTTTTTCTCTCTCTCGTCTTTTTTTGTCGTTACGTTCTTCAAGTACTATTAACAAGCATCTTCCTAGGCTGAAGATCGGCTGATGCATTACAATGCGCAAAGAGGAAAAAAAAACGAGGGTAAAAATGTGTTCGTACTTTGGTGCTTTTTTTGGTTTCGTAAAATAATACGAGAAGAAAAAAACAAGAAACGAGAGAGAAAAAGAAAATATAAGGGTAGATAGTTGCGGCGACGACAACCGCGGCGGCCTTTTCCTCTTTTTTCTCTGTAGCTACGAATTGCCATCGTCAGTATCACAAATAGAAAATAAATGTCAAAGAATCTAAGGTGAGTGGGTCAAAAGATTAGAGAATCGATAAATAATGTTGATGCTGTTAGTATATATACATATATTACAAACAGAACATATCGTGTTTTTGTGTTTACTTTTTTCTATTCAATATAATCTAAGGTAAAAAAACAAAATACATTCTTGTCAATTAACTGATCTTAGGGTCACAAAGAAACAAAAAGAAGAAAAAAAGGTTGATGATTTCGATTTTTCTTTTGCTATTTATTTAGTTTTGTTTTTTTGTACATCATTCCACTTTTTCAATTTTTTTTTTATTTTAAATTTAATTAACATAGTTATATTATATGTAAAATTGTGATAAGATAAAAAATTTGGACAGTCTTTATTCTATATATGATCGAGATTCATAGAACGCTCTGTTAATAGTGCATGTTTTTTTGTATGCATATGTTCTCTTTATAGAATCATCATTATATTGGCTACAGCAGGACGTATGTCTTGTTTCTCTCTGAGTTTTTCCTGTCTCATTCGCATTCTTCTCTTTTCTTGTCCTCGTCAAAAACAAGCTCTTTTTCGTTGTCTATCTGTCTGTCAATCGACATAAACAATCATCTGGCTACAGTAGTAATTTTATATTAGGTACTTTACGATGGCCCAATTTTTTTTCTACGGACATATTATTACAATTCAATAGTGTTGATTTTATATAGAATTTTATTAATGATTTAAATTTTCGATTTAATGAGTAACTATTTAGAATAATCAATGTAGATAAAACAATAAGAAAGAAAGAAAGCAAGCAAGAAAAAAAAAAGATTATTTTTCATATTAATGATGTATAAATAATGTTCTATTTATGGCACATATAGAATTTTTCTTATTATAGTAGTAGTACGTGGAACAAACGATACGAAGTGGTTAGATAAGTAAAAACACAGATGGACCCTTCCACAGCAAATACGGCTAGTAAGATGACTATGCCATCAACAACATTTGCTATTGATCGTTCAAATCCTAATTTATCTTCGTCGAATTTTCATCAAAGTCTATCTCTTACTTCAACTAATACATGTTCAAATAATCGTTATTCCTATCCTGACATTCTATCATCATCTTCATCAACATCATCATTAAATTATACTGATCTACTTCGTACATGGAATTATCATAGATTTATAACATCAGCATTAACAACTGATCATTTGTCAGATAATTCTTCTAGTGATTATTATCCACGTAATGGTTCTTTGCATCAATGTTATCCTCATACATTACAAAAATCTTTACATCATCAAACACATGATGATATTCTTTTAAAGAAATTTCATCGTGATACATTGGTTACCTTAGATACAGGTGAATTAAAAAATATTCAACAATTAACAAAAAATGATTTTTTAAAAAGTGCAAAACAAAGTCATCAATATTCAAGGTCAAATTATTGTCTTTTTTTTTTTTGTTTTAAAGAAAAAAGATTATATTTAATAATATAATTATTTATTTATTTATTTATTTAGTGTTTTAGCACGAGTCGATTATATTGGTTCGATTGATAAATCAACTGGTAGAGTCGAATTACGTTTTTATATTGATGATATTAGAAAAACAGTAATTTATTTTTTCTGGACAAATTATAAAATATAATTTGTTTTTTTCTTTTAGGCTTCATGTTATGTTTTACCAGCTGTACCATTTTTTGTTCATCAATATTCATGTTGGTCATCTATATCACCTGAACATACACATCATCAATGTGGTTTAAAATGTCGTCAATTAGAATGTGGTGATATAATAATAGCTGTAACTGAACAACGAAAATTTTCATCATCATCATCGAAAATCAATGATAAATCTAATTATAGTCAACAATCATCAACAAGCTATGTAGCTGAAAAATACACAAATGGACAAACATCACCATCCATTAAACGTCATAAATCATCAAATGAATAAAAATTTTATAATTGAGTAAAATATTTTCGTTTTCTTTCTTATTATTAGATGTGCAATCAAAGCGCTTTTGTCATGTACTACGCTTGGACGCGTCTAAATGTCCTTTTATGATTTGCTCTAACGCAAAAAAATATAAATAAATATATATATATATATATATATTTCGTATTTTTTCTTCTCTCTTTTGAGAATAGTAAACGAGTTTTTATTTTCTATTGTATACCTTAATCCCTTCCTAGACTAAGTATTTGTTTCCAAGATTTATGTACTTCTCATACACCGGTGTCTCTGTTGTTTGTTTTTCTTTCTATTTTAAGTTCTATTCATCATTGATTTTCATTTTATTCTCTTATAATACTTGTGTGATAAAGTCATCTATCTGTCGCTGGTCTTTTAAACTTTCATTTTCTTTTGGTATTGATCTTATCTATATAGAAGAAGAAGAAGAAAAAAAAAACAAACAAACAAATTATTTAGTTTAAATTCGTTAATAATATTGTTTTTATTAAATATGTTAAAAATTAACTTTACTTGTTGTAGTTTTTTTTTTTCCTGTATTCATGTTTTAAGAAACAAATAAATGCCTTATATATTTGAAATAATTATACAATGACCTTATATAATCAGTGAAAATTTGCAAAATCTAAAAACAAAAAGATAATTAATTATAAGTATGAAATAAGATGAAGACAAAAAATTTGGATAGAATATTTGTTTTCACCGCCATTCGATTCTATAATATTATTAGTTATCTACATTACAATGTCGAACAGCATAGTTCATTGCGTTCATTTTTATTGTCAACAACATGACATCTTCACCTAGACAATAATATGTTTTTCCTATGATTAGATGATAAATGGATGTAGTATTACAAGAAGTTTGTATGTCAAATAATTATATACATGAATGCGTAAAAGGTTTTCTTGGAAATTATTCGTATAATTGCCTGAAAATATAATTGTTTTCAGGTTATATTTATATCAACCGACTGACGTTTATGCTTTAGCAATCATTTATATGACAACGTACTATATTTTTTTTTCTTTCTCTTATGAAAATATTTTTTGCTAAAAATTTTTTAGAATTTAATCCATATCTCAAAAGTGATAAAGAAACATTCATAAGTGTTGAGAACAAATCTGTTTTTTGTTTTTGTTTCAATGACTTAGTGAATTGTTTTTCTTTTTAGATATTTATTTAAAAATTTTCTTTAAACAAATGCAATGAAAGGAATTATAAAGTAAATTAGATTTCTTTTTTTTTTTCGTGTTGTGTGTATTTTTTAATCTACTTTGATTTAATTGTAAATTTTAATAAATTTCAGTTGAGTATATCGTTCATCTTGGAAACTTGATAATTTTAATTGACATATACGACATTTATAATTATTGAATGGAGATTTTTCTTTAATTTTACTTTGTTGAACTGTTTGAAGAACTTCAAAATTATATTTCTTATTTTTATCGAAGCACTTGTATTTTTCTCTTCAAATAAAAAATAAAAAATAAACTATCGAGTGACTCATTATGAATGACTGGCTTTACACTTACTTTAAAAATCAAATATACCATGAAATGTACCGTGAAAACCTCTACACGATACATTAAAAATCTAATTTCATACGTGCATCCTTTGCTTTCAAAATGTATAAATTTTGATGATGCGTAAAAGATAATATTTTAGTACACGACGAATTTTTTTCTCGTATTTCTTTGAGTAATGAGCTGTATTGAAGGCCATAATCGATGACCGATTTTAGACTACTTGATATATGTATCGATTAAATTTTTTTCACTCACTCTGATGTTATTTGTTAGAATTACATAGGAAATTCATAATAATAAATTATATCTGTATAAATGTATCAGTTAATAAAAATAAATGAAATCATAAACAATAACAGATAGCCATCAAACAATTCCGATCTTAATGTTCTAGATTATCATCTGTGGAATGCTATCGCCAATTGTATGCAATAAAATGCAGTTAAAAACTATTATTCATTAACTGATTAAATAAGAAAAGAAACTCGTCACATATCAATCAATCATGTTATTCGCAACATCGAACATCGATCACAAAAGATCTTATCTATTTCGAAAACAAAAGATGCATATACGAAATTAGATTTTTAACGTATTTTATGGTATGTTTGATTTTTTGGAAAAAAAACACATACAGAAACCGACCATTTATTATGAATCGCCCGAAATTTACAATGGAAGAGCGTACAATGTAATTCGAGGGTATCGGATATATTCGGATTAAAGTAACGGTCTTATCGGTAAACTAATAAATTTAAATTAATGAATTACTTATAATGTGTACGGACTAAGATATTCAAATAGTAAAGTATTTAAAGTGTATGTTTGGTGCTTATAAATAAAAATTTTATTAGGATTTCTTTTTTTCTGTCATAGTTGGATACAGCTCATCGAGTTACAAAGGGAAACAAATAAGTTCAAAAACAAATATTTTAAGACTATACGGCATCATTATTTTCAAATAAAGGAAAAAAATAGATCCGCAAATCTGGCTTTAGTAAAATTTATTTTTCTATATGAGAAACATACTTTTGTAACTTCAATGAGCTTCATTCAACCGTGATAAAAAAAAAACAAGAAAAAGAAATCCTTTTAAAATTTTCAATTATTACCGCACTCTATACAACATAAATACCTTACACTTCATGTACATCATAAGTAGCTTATATTTGACATTTGTTATTTTGTTGGTGAGATCTTTAATTTGACTTGAATAAGTTTAATGTTCTTAATTTACAATAACATATTCTTCCATTGTTAGTTATTGAATACAAATTCTTATGACCGTCTTAGAAATATTTTGACAAGTCTAATTCCATTCGAGTCATTGATATAAATGTTCATGAAAAAGAAAAAACAAAAAGAATAAACTTTTATCGTGTGTATATATATATTCAATTTTCGTTTGTTTTTATATGCTTATAGGCAAACAAAAAACCGAACTAAACAAGCAATAATATCAAAATACAAACGAAAAATGATGATGATAATGATTTATTTCATTTTATTTTATTTTTCTTTTAATTGAGACAAATGATATTTCGATGTCTCATGCCAATAATACACAAGCACCGCCAGCAGCTTTTATTTTTTCTTCAGCTCGTCTTGAGAAAAATTTTGCCTTAATAATAAGTGGTTGTTTAGGTAAAACACCTTTGCCTAACACCTTAAAATAACCTGATCGTACAACATTAACAACAGGTACAACAGTAGTTTCTCCTTGACTATATTTTTCTTGTGAACGTTGACTTAATAATGACCATAAACGATCAAGATTAACAGATGGACACCATCGACGATTTTTAAGTTTATGAAATTCACGTTGACCAACTTTACCAAAATAACCCGGATGATATTTATCAAATAATGTACGATGATGATGAAGACCACCAGCATTACCGCGACCACCTGGATGTTTACGATGTTTACCAACACGACCATGACCATGTGAAACATTACCTTAAATGTTTATTTTTTTAAATAGAAAAATTATTTGAAATATGTAATTTAACATACCGCGTAATTTGGTTTTTTTTGGTTTTTTATTTAATCGAGAATTGCGTGCTGAACCACGTGCTGCCATTTTGTTGTTGCAAGAGAACTAATAGACGTATAATCTGAAAATAAAATTTCACTTTTTTTTGTTTTCTCTTCAAAGTTCTTATATCCTTATTAAACTGTATCATGTCTTGTACTATAGATACTATTTCAATCAACTCTAATAGAAGAAAAAATAAGCTTAAATTGTTTTTCGTATAATCCATTTTTTATATGAAAAAAAAAATGAAGATTTATAAAAGACATTGGAATAGATAATAATGAACGAATTGATGATGAAGTTTAGTTCTTACGAAAAAAAAAAAACATGGACATTAATAAGCACAATAACCAACCAACATTGAATAAACCAATCAAAATTTTGTCATTCGTCAATATTGTCCTTTCCTTTTTTTGAAAATTTATATTTATAAGAAAAAAATATATCAATAGAAAAGTTTTTCCTATAAAAGTTTTAAAATAAAATAAAATGAATGCAGTAAGTTTTTATTGAAATATCAAACAGCGACATTGAGTTTAATTGGTTATTAACAATAATAACAATTTTTGCTATTTACTTGGCATCTAGCGCTACCTAACCGAGAAATATTTCTTGTTTACCGATTGTTTTCACACAATTTTTATTATCTATTAATAGCTAATAATTGCTACGGTTGATTTGTAAATAGTTCTAGTGTGTTTACTCTTATTACATCGAATCATTTAATATGTATATAATTTTAATAAAGAATTTTGTTTTTGTAGATTTTCCTATTTGATAAATATGAGTACATTATCAGATGATCGTGATCCAACAGAAGGTTTGTTTTTTTAATTATATGAATTTTTTTTTTTTTGAAAAGAATGATGTTGTTTTTTTTTTAGGTGAAGATGAACGTGATCGTAAACGAAAATTATTTTCAACAAAAACAAATGCATCAAGAGAAAAAAGTAGTACATTATTAATTGGTAATGAACCAAATGAAGAATCTTTAACAACTGCACAAGATTTTAAAAGTCTTTTAAGACCAAAGAAAAAAAATGGTTTTAAATTAATTAAAACAAAAACTAAAGTTTCATCAGAACAAAAAGAAAGACGATCAAGTAAAATATTTATTTAAATTAATTTATAATAATATTATTTTCTTGTGTTTATTAGGTTTAAAAGATGAAAAACGAAAATCAAAAACAAATCGTGATAGTGTTGCAAGTACAGCTGGTTAGTTAAAAGAAAAATTCGATAGACCAAAAATATTCTTTTGTTTTTTTGTTTTCGATAAAGAAAATATTTTATAAATCACACTTCATTACGTATGTCTAGGTCACAAACTGTAGAAACCCTCGATATCATCTCTACCTACTTGATTTACTAGTTATTAGGATAATAATCTAATAGGGTAATGTGCAGTATTAGTGTAAAATACTGTCAGTGAGTCATCGACACATGATTCATAGAGGTACTGGTTACATTGACATTCGCGTTCGTTACAACATTCAAACACCAACTCTATCAAAATATGCCATTTTTATAGCAGTGTACTTCAATGAACACTTGTGTAGAGGTGTAGCCAGGAATTCTCTAACGAGGATGTATACCAGTAGGACGATAATTTTTTTGTTTTGAGAAAAAGTTTTTTTTTATGTCTTTTCGCAAAGGAAAGTGACGTACAGACATCCACTCTGGCTGCGATCCTGCACTCGTATAGGTATGTGCTGATTTGGCAGTCAATAAACTAATACTACACATCCGTAATCTGATTGAAACATCATTATATTCTAGAAATTATAGATAATCAAACCTTCGTTATATAAATCTTTTATAAATTAAAATTTCTTATACTCAATGTACCCATGTTTATTCGTTGAGCAACAGATGGAACATTTAGAATAGGATGACTTCCTATTGCTGAGTGGAATTCATCAAAACTTGGAATAGTTTTCAAGGATTTTAGCAAACGAGTCAATAAGATAGTTCGTACATTTTCATTGTACCGTTTTCTTGACGAGCTTTTATTTACACTTGTGTATTTAAAAAATTCAACAAAGTGCAAAGAAATATAAAATAGACAATTGATTTTTGGATATCTAGAGTCTTAATACAATTATACGTAGACAAAAGTCACATATTTCTTCCTGAACGGAACTTCATGCAGACTTTTTTTTTTATTCTATTCTATTCAATATAATCTCGTTTTGAAATATTATCAGAATTATAAATAGACACAACATTCTTATAGCCATAGAACGTGATTATGATAATATATTTTTATAGCAATATGTTAGATATTTTAGCATCATTCAATTCAATTCAATAATTGCATAAAAAAAAAACAGTTCAAATTTTTGTTAATGAAGTTTTTTCATTCATAAAATACATGTTTAGATAATGATGATCTTTTTATATTCGAAAAAATTATCTTATAAAAATTTCTTCTAGGTTTAGTTGAACAACTTCGTCTTATAATAGGTCTATCATTAGAAGAAGCAACTAAACATAATCCATTACAAAATGATGATCTTGCTGTACCACGATTTTTAGTTGATTGTATTAATATTATTGATCAAGGTATATATTTGAATATTGTTTTTTTTTCTTATTTTATTTATTTATTTTTTACATCTAAAAAACAAAGCTCATCCACAAGATAGTGTTTATCGACAAGAACCAGTAAAAATAAAACAACCAGCTGATCTTGAAAATGCTTTAAAACAACCATTAACACCAGCATTTGCTGTTAGTTTACTTAAACGTTTTCTTAAAGAATTACCTGAACAATTAATACCACCTGAATTAAGTAGTGCAATATTTAAAATTATTAATGATCCAAGTAATCAAAAATAGAATATAATATTTCATAAAAAATTTACTTATTGGTTTTCTTTTTTGTTAGATCCTGATTCAAATCGATTTATTGAAATTCGAAATCTTATACAAAAATTTCCTAAATCGAATCGTGATACAATGCGTTTATTATTTCTACATTTTCATGATATAATACATCAATCACAAACAATGTCACCAACTCAAACATCATCATCGTCAAAAAGTAGTGAATCATCATTTATACCTGTTACTATAGCAACATTAATTAAAAGTAAAGAACGTGCTGTTAAATATTTAATTCAACATGCAACGGATATTTTCGAACGACCACAAGTATCATCGACACCTCGGTATGTGTTTTTAATAGATTATTTTGTTCTAAAGTAACTTTTTTTTTTTTTGTTCATTTAGAGTATCATTAATTAAAAATGTTTCACGTTCTTCACTTCATTCTGAAACAATTGAGTAAGTATACATGAATAATAATTAATTAATAATTGTTGGTGTTTTAATTTTTTCCAGAGAATTAGAAGCAGAATTAGTTAAACAAGAAGCATTATTAAATAAAATGCATGAAGAAATGCAAAAATCTCAACCTACATCATCAACATATGGAACAACAACACCAACAAATATTGATAAAGATAAAGAAGAACAATTATGGACTCAACAAAGACTTGTTACAGCACTTAAACGAAAGGTATTTTAATAAACAAAAAGCAAATGAATGAATTTTGGATAATACATATTCTGATCTCATATTGTTGAAAAGAAAAATTATTAATTTCGATTTGTAATTAAAATAAAACAATAGATGCATGAAATATGAAAATAAACTGTTCTATCATTTGAGATCATTGATTAGAAGTTTCTATACTAGAATTGATAGTATGACGCTCACAAAAATGAATATTTAACAGTTAATATTATTTCTGGTGAATAAAATAAGAATTATTTTACTTCAATATTAATTACTAATAAAATATTTTAGAAAATACTTTTTTTTTTCTTATTAAAAGATTAAACAAGAAACTCGTCGTTTACAACAGAATCGTCTTTCATCATTTCTTGAACATTCAGCATCAACAACTGCTAGTGCATCACATCCTGAATCAAGTAATTTTGTTTATTATCAATACAAACATAAAATAAAACATTTTATTTTTTTTCATTTAGCTTTATCACATCAACCAGAAGTTATTTTAATTGTTAATAAACGAGAAGAACCATCAAAAACTCAACAAATACCTGGATCAAATGATGAAATTCCTAAAGTATCAACTGTTCCATTAAGTCCAAAACCTGTTCGACAACGTGAACAAAGTGGAGTTGAAACTGATGATGATGAATTACTTGGACAAATACAAAAAATTTTTGATAATAATGCTGGTATAGCAGAAGAAGAATTATTAAAAGAAAAAATAACTGAAGCTCGTCTTCTTGCACGATGTAAATTTTCTTTTTCTCCTCTTCAATTAAATATATATATATATATATATTTTTTAATAGTAAAAACAATTTATAAATTATTTATGAATGAAAAAGAAAATTTAACAAAATTAGAACAACAAATGAATGATAAATCATCGGATTTGTCCGTTATAACTCCAACAACAACAACAATAACATCAGAAAATGATATATCATCGAATCAAACTGTAGATATTTTACAAGAATTATTAAATACAATTAAACAAAATAATCAATTAGAGGTATTCGATAATATTTAATTAATAATCATTAATCAACGTTTTTATTTTTTATTCTTTACAAATCTATCGAAATATATTTATTGATGAGAAGAGAAACAGTATTTAGAAGATCTATATAATCTATGATATTTGATTCGAAGACAAAAAAACGCTGGTCACCTGGAATATCGATTTTCGACGTCAAACTTTGCATGAATAAAGTTCTCAATGAGATTAGTTCATTAGAGAAGTTGTAACTTTTCTAGTATCTCGTATTCTGAGATATGAAATAATCAATGAATGAAAGCAAATTTACATCTCCAGAAAAGGAAATAATATCGAAAAACTAAAACTTACACTTTCTACTAATCTCATTGAGAACTGTGTTCATGCAAAATTTGAAGTTGAAAGTCAATTTTTCACGTGACCACAGCTTTTCTTTTTGAAAAATTCAGTAAAATTTCAATTTCTCAAAAATGAAAACCTGAAAAAACCAAACTATTCTAGACTTTTCTATTACTCATCAAATGAACATCGTCTCAATTGAAAAATTTGAAAAACTAAATTCTCTAATCTCAATACATATGTAAACTAAAATATTAAATCTCAATTTTATTTTCTAGACAAAAATCGAAGCAATTAAGCGAAATATCGATAATGAAAATGAACGTATTGAAGAATTATGCATTGAATTACGTTTTGGAATATTATCTAGCAAAATTCATCTTCAAAATAATAATAATAACAATAATAATACAAATCCATCACAATCACCATCAACTCAATCGGCTCCTACACTTGTTCAAGTGACTAAATTATAACATCTCGTGAATATCTATAGCACTTGGAAAATAGTAATCAACATAAATATAAAAGTGCTTATTTTAACTCCAAATTAATTTTTTTTTTGTTTTTTTTTCTTCTATTTCTTAACCAGAATTGTTTAGGTTTCCACTATAAAAGTCTATTTTTCGTGTATGTGTAACTTTGTATAGAAAACAAAAAAGAAAATAAAAGAAAGTTGCTGTTGTTTCTTTTTTCTTCTGCCTGTTAGTCAGTTCTCTTTATTTATATAGGTATATATATATAATATATATATATATATATAGCGTAATCGGGTACATTTTCATTTCTTGTCTTTTGTTTTTTTTTTTTTTTTTGGGAAAGATAAATAAAAGTATTTCTATCTTATATATATATATGAAAGAATATATTCTAGATGAGTTTAACATTAATGAATCGTTTTCGCCTTTCAAATTTAATTAGAAATCAACCTACTCTAAATCTATTTCGATATACTAGTATTAATGCATCATCATCAAAGACAGTTGATGAAACGAAATTAAATGATATTTTAAAAAAACGTTTTTCAAATGCTCGTCTTATTGATGTTAAAGATACTTCAGGTAAATGTATAATTTATTTTATCAAAAAAAAAAAAAAAACACTTTACATACTGAATTGCAGGGGAAATTCACAATGATAAATAGAATCAGAGGAGATACATAGTTTTTTAAAGTTATAGCCTCAAGAGATTCGATTGAGCAATAAAAATGTGGTGACAGTACAGTCCATTCAAATCCGACCGAATTAAGGTTCGGAACTAACCCGACTGGATCTAGTTGAAAGATAAGTTTGGATATTTCAATATGTAGTTTGTGAGAACTGAATAATAATCTAGATTTATAATATGTAGTAGTAGCGTAACCAGAAAAAGTCGAATGATTGAGTTGCACCCTAACAACTTTTAATAAAGTCATGCAAGGCAATGCAATGTTTCTTTTTCATAGAGAAAGAATACAACAATGTATTTATCTTTACAAACCGGTTTTTTAAATGATGTATCATTTTATTTAGTAAAAAAAAAATCAAAATATTTACTTCAATAAAATTCTACTATTTCTGTGCGAATTACCGAAATCATCCATGAGTTTTCAGAAATGATATTACAACCGTGCTTCACTGTTAAAATCCATATATCGCTCAATCTAATATCAGACATTATACTGCATGTCATTGTTTTAATCGTTTATATCTTACGAAACGTTTTCTCACATGCAGTAGATGAAATCGGTATAGTCATAGCAGCAATAATAGGAAACATTGTTGTTGAAAGTGCCTGCTTATATAGTAATAATTCAACATAAACATCAACAATGCTTCTTATTTTTAGGATGTAGGTGTAGTTGTTAAACTGCTCTTAACTCACATCCTTTCTTTCTTTCTTTTTTAAGAAGATAAGCTGAAAAATGACTCAATAGCATCACGCTCGGGTTCTTTATCAGTGAGTGGCATTTTAGCAATAACTTTATCTTATTTAATAGAATCACGAAATTGTTTGTGTATTTTGCTTGTAGCATTCATCAGGAGATAAATCTTTGTTAAAAAAAAAAAAATGATAATCCATCAATAATCATTATTGCAATAGACGTCTCTCTATCACGAGAAATAAATTATGATTGAGTATGTATCCAATCGGTGATCCACCTAGTAGGAACTGATAATGGAGGTAGTTGTGTTGTCAGTTAATAAGATTAGATAGATTCAAGTTGAATTAAATGTCTCATCGCCAAAACAAAAAAATTTCAAAATATGAGCTGCTAATGATATGTATAGATCGAGATATTCGAATTTTAAGGTAAGGTATCTACAAGTCACAATTTCAATAGAATATCGTTTTTTTTTCCTTTTTCATGATGATTGACAAGATCTCGTTGAGTTGCATAAGCAACTGTGTATTTCAAACTTGAAAAAAAAAAACAATTTTACGAAAACCAGAGATTTGTGTGTTTTCCCCTATATTTGAAAGTAATAGTATCTTGAACTTTTCGTAAAATTGTTTTTCTTTTTTTTAATTTTGAAACACATTTTCTTATACAATCCGATAAGCTTTATCCAATAATCACAAAAAAAAAAGAAAGAATAAATTTTGCTGAAATTGTGAATTGTTGGCACCTTACATACATTGTAAATACCTTGAAATGCGAACATTTCAGTTCGTGCACGACATTAACAGCTCATATTTCAAATTCCTGAGTTTGTCGGCGAGACACTTAATCTGATTCGAAGATGTCTAATCTTATTAATACACAGCATACATACTTTCATTGTCAGAAAGAATATGTAAATGTCATGCGTTCTGTTGTAAAACCTAATTGCTTTTTATAGATCGTCGGTAGTTGGGCTCAGTCCAACCTAGTCCTACCCTGATTACGCCAATAATATGTAGTATTTAAGCTAGAAGAATATTTTAATAACCTCAATAGATACAAAAACAAATAAGATGATAAGTAACATCAATTAAAAATAAATGAGAATTAAATAATTGATATCAATTTCATTAGTTAGACAAGATCCGTTATTTATTTATTTTAAACTTTATGCAAAAAGATTTATATTACGATGAAAGTAAAAACAAATATTTCACTTAGATGTAAATGAATCAGCTATGTTTAATTTTAAAAAATATGAAAAAAAAAACTTAGATTTTTTCTAATGCTCAAAAGTATTTTAAGTGTGTTCGGATCGATTTTCAGTTAGATGAAATCATCAGTCGAAATACAAGATTTATTATTATTTTTCTAGATAAAAAACCTCATTTTACCAGGATAGAATAGCATATCGAAAAAAGAGCTTATTATAAATACATCTAATCTAATCATATAATTCTTTTGCATAAAAGAAAAAAAAATAAGTCACTATATCTATAATCTTTTCATAAATTCGGTATTAACGAGAATTGCAAACTTCATATCGACTATATAATAAAGATAATTTTAAAAAATTAATAATCAAAAATAATTTTTCTTTAATAATTAAAAAAAAAACTAAAGATTTAATTTCATCAGTGACTTTTGTTTCTTTTTCTTCTATTCTACTTGTTTTTCTTTTAGCTGGTTGTGGTGCAAGTTATGAAGTAATTGTCGTAACTGATGAATTTGCCAATATGCGTATGGTTAACCAACATCGTTTAGTATCTGAAGCACTTAATAAACAATTATCAAATATTCATTCGATTCGAATATTTACTGGAACAGATGAAAAAGAATTTCTAGATTCCTGATATACAGATATTCTGAATTTTTCTTTCTTTTTTTTTTTTTTATATCAACAAATAAAAAACTAATCTTTGTGTTTTCCGTATCAGTTATCATAATGCATGCTCATAATATGTTCTTGTCATTGGATATTTATGAGCATTTTCATATGGAGGTGGTGCATAACATTCTTCGTAGATATGACTAGATAATGTATCTGTTTCAGTTCTATGATGTAGAATAGATAAATATGATGGTGGTAGAGGTGGAGCACTAGGAATATCTAATGTCTACAATAAAAAAGAAAAAAAAAAGAAATCATGAAAAATAGAAAAGAAAGAAAAGACTTGTTACTTTAGCTGGAGATCTAATTATTCGTCGTTGATGTATACGAATAAAATATTTGATTAATATGAAAATACCGGTAATAACAAGAAGGATAACAATCGTAGCTATTGCAACAGCTGAGTAATTTAAAAAAAAAAACAATATTTAGGAAATTCACAATATTAAAACAAAGTCAACATACCAATATAGAAATTTAAATTCTTGAGCAATTGATACGGTGAATAATTGTCGTCTAAGATAAAGAACAAAAAATTATTTTTTTACATCAAAAATTGATTAACTTTACAATTTTGTCGGATATTATTACATGCACGACGATCTTGTATTGTTTGACAAGGTACATAATGAAGCATATTACAAGCTAAATCACATCGTATGTCATCTTCAGGTGGACATGAATAAAGATTATTGATACAAAGTTCTATGTAAAAATCAAGGATTCAAATAAAAGAATAAATATATATATATATATAATTAGTTTAAACTTACTACAAAAATGTCCTTCTTCATCAAAACGATCATGACAATCAATAATTCCATCACAAAATTGTGACCAACGTAATGTACGATTTCCACCATCACATGTATGACCATTTGATGATATCATTGTGCTTATCTGTCTTATTCAATACAACATCTGAAGAATTAACTAATACATACTGATTCGTTCCTTTTTTTTTTTTGCTTCTTTCATCGTCTTTTTTTCCTCTAACAAAATTCATCTGTTTTTTTCTTTTGTCATGATGTAATTGAGATGCTAAAGCAAGAAGAGAAAGAACAAGTCGGAATGATTTCCTTCTTTCTATTCTTTGTTGTTAGACGCGTTCTTCTTTTTTTTTGCTTTCTTCTTCTCCTTTTCGTTCTCTTTTTATATAAGAATAAGAGTTATTAATATAAGCTAAAGCAGTAACTATTCTCATACTACTTACTTTGTTACTGTACAAAAAAGATAATGCTCTTACATACTTGCTGTTCGATGTGACAGTTTTCTTTTCCTTCAAGATCAAGAAAAACAAGTTATTGCAATTAACGTACAGACTAGCACACTCGTTCTTCTTTCTTTCATGTAATTAGAATGTATGCCGGCTGTTACACACGTACTATTACTATAACTATCACGGCCATCAACAGACAGCTTGTGTCTATAGATCTATATGGCATTGATGATGATGAGTGAACTTCTGTCAAAATGTCATGTTAGATTTTTTTTTCTCTCTCTCTCTCTCTCTCTATCTATCTACTCATATGGCGTCCAATTAGGTTGTTCATCGGCTGGTTTCGATTTCATTTGCTTGAATGAATAAGTCCAACCCCGATCCGAATTAACAAATATGATAAGCATTCTTCTATGAATGTCTTAGTCGTCTTCTTCTTTTTTTTCTTGCTCTAATCTGCATGAATAAGAAAAGACAATAGAAGAACCAATTTTGTTAATTATTTAGGAAAAAAAAAAGAGATGAACGAGAATCACACACACATATAGAAAAAAAATAATAAAAGAAGAAATTGTTAATACCCATATATATATATATATAATATATATATTGTTTTTTCGTAAGCTCTCAGGAGCACACATAAACAAGATTAGATGATGCTCGTCATCACATAGGCCTTGTATACACAAATGCCCTTCGATCATAAAACAGCTTAGAGAAAGGGAGAGAAGAAAAACACAGTAGATCATCATAGTAGTAAATTTCCTGTGCGTGCATGTGCATTGATGCAATCAAGATGGCGATGAAGAGAGATCAGTAAAGCTCTAAGAAAAAAAAGATGATAGCTTCAGGCATTTCTTACCTTCTTATCTATCATATTGAATGAACGGTTGGTTATACATACTTAAAAATCAAGTGACACTCTCTTTACTAGTAACCTATGCACATCAACACCTCACACATAACACCCTATGGAAGAAAGATGAAAGACAAGAATGGCCATTATTCATTTTGTGTCCTTGTATTAGGAGTGTGCCTTTTTGAATTATCTTTTTTTTTTCTTTTTTTGCTTTTTTTTTACTCTCTTCTCGCTCGACTGTCTCTTTTCTTTTATCGCATAGATATAAATGTGTGTGTGTGTGTGTTCGCTACCATCGTTGACAAAAGAATACGGCGTTGTCGACATGCTTGCTCTCTCGTTTGAATGAAAAGAAAACAACACGAAAAGAATTTTAGAGTAGCAATTCCAATGCTTGTACTAAAACCCCGTTTTCCGTTCTGTCAACGTCATTGATAATAGATGAAAAGAATTGTTACAATTGCTATTATTCAAATAGAACCGTGTACCCGACTATATAATTAAGCATATGTATTTACTACTATTCTAAAGACACTAGTCGTTTCCGTATTTATAAAAAAAAAAGAAAAAAGAAAAAAGAAACGTCATTGATTATTTGTCAAGTCAAATCAAATATGCATTTTGATTATTTTCATTGTCAAGCCAATGTAAAAATTCATATTGATTAGTAGTTAACCATGTGAAAATTAATGATTGAAATTCAAGAATCATTGGATGAGAACTAAAATTTCCTTGTATAGTACTTGTATGAAATAAGAAATCAATAAGTTCATCATTATTTGTTGGCCATTGTTCATTGTCAATTGTTTTTAATTGTTCAAAATTTTTGATTGATGAATATGTAAGAATATTTCGATAACATGGCCATTTAAATGGTGATGGTGGACATAAATTATTTAAATAAAAATCAATCTGTTCTGTTGTTTGAATACCACAAGATAAACCAGTTATAATCGATGATGGAATAAGTTGATATTGAAATTTTTGTTGAATGAAATGAATTAGATCATACCAATATTTATTATTTTGTTGTCGAACTGTTTGACAAATAATATTCATAATTATCCGATCAGGATATATAAATAATGATGGTATTTGAAGTTGATTAAAACTTGTTAACATGTTCGTTTGATTATGATAAATTATTGATTTTGTTGATGACAGATCTAAATTGAATCGTTGATTATTAAAAATAAATTGTATAAGTATTTGTGGATCATTTCTATTTGATATTTGTTGTAAACAAATTGAATGATTAATTGAACAACATAATTCTAAAAATATATCATTTATAATTTGTTGATTATAATATTTAATATCAATTAATATTTGTCGTGTCCATAATTGATTTAAACAAAATGGATTAAAAATTTTTCGAAGAAAAATAAGAAATTTTTCTTCATATAAATTTGATAACATTGATCGATACCATTTAAGAATTTTATTTATAACTAATAAATCATTTTTTGTAAATGATTGTTGAAAAAATAAATTTATTAATTGTAATGAATATTTAATAGATATTTTATTAGCAAGATTAAATAAAAAACTATCAAATAGAAGTTTAGAAAATATATTTAATTGTTGATGATGAAAAATTTTTATTTCATCAATAATATAATTCCATGATGGATAAAAAATATGTATAAATGGATTTAATGGTATTAAAATTGATGAAGAATTTGAAAATAATTCTAAAAAATTTATTGATAAAGAAGAATCATTAAGAAAATGATAAATTATTGGATGAATTGATGAAATAGATAATGAACAATTTGAATTAAATTTAAATAGATACATATCAATTATTGATGAATTATAGAAAACTATTGGATGACCAGAAATTTTTGACCAAATTAAAAATGAAGATGAATTAGTAAAAAAAATTGATGATAAAATTGATTGATTGATAAAAGAATTATTTGAATGTTGAATTAATTGTTGAATTCGTGAATGAAATTGTATATCACCAATATATAATCGATATTCAGTTATAAATGCTTCACCTTTTTCGATTAAAATATTTTCTGATCTAGACATATATAAAATAGAAATCAATCTTAATTTCTGTAGATTACTAGCAACTCTTTTTTAAATAGTTTATTTTTATTAACTGATAAGATTTGATTGTATTCGTCATATGAAAAAATAATATTCGATATCCATTTATTTCTCGTAAGAAGTGTTAGAATCTATATTTTCATGTTTCTTTTTTTTGTTACAAAATGTCAAGGTGTAATACAAAAATAAGGCAAACTTTATAGATAATAGACGAGCAATTCTATATATAGTCTAATTATTATAGTTGAGCATAATAATTAGTAAGGATTGCATGTAATTATGAGAAAAAAAATCCGTTTCTATTACTTTAAAAAACCGGAATAAAAAAGAATGGTAATTTGAGAATGCTTTCTTTGTTATGAGAGAAAAGAAAATCTGTATGAAACTATAAATCATTAAAATATGAAAGAAATCTTTAAATTTTTGTAATTTAGATTTCTTACTTAATATCGTTTGATTCTTCAACTAATGTAGGATTACACAATGAATCACGTACAATACTGGACATAAATCGTTCAATTTGTGAATTATTATTTCCAATTGTATCATAAGTTTTATGAAATAAATGACTTGCAATACTTCTTGCTAAACTTTGACTAAACCATTTTGTATCTTTATCAAATTGAATTAATATATCAATCCATTGATAAGCTATTATTAAAAAAATAAATTCACGTTGTTGAATAATTTGTTCAGCTGATATATTAATTAATAAAGTATTTTGATCAATAAATACTAAACCAGGTTTAGAAATAATTTGATCATTTAATTCTAAAACAGTAATTAATGTTAATTTATTTAATGGAAATTTTTGTGAAAAATAAGATTCAAATATTCGAAGTGTATTTAATGTATAATTAAATATATAAGAAAATAAATCAATTTCATATGATGAATTAATTGGAAAACATAATTGAAGTATATCAATAGTTTGACATTCATATTGATGTAATAAAGCAAAAGATATTTGTGAAATATCATATAATGAACTTATTTGATTAACTGGTAAATTAGAAATAATATAATCAGAACTAATTATATTTATATTAAATGTTGTTCGATAATATGAATGAGAAAAATAAGGAAATAAATAATTATTAGTAAATAAAATACGATATTTTGTTGACCATATTTGATGAATAAAATTTGATTTTATTGTATTTAATATAATTATATGAATACTAATTGATATTATATAATTTCCTGAATAGAAAATTTTGTTCCATTGATTTTTTTTTTCTATTATAATATGATTATTTTTAATTTGAATTTTAATTGGTATTGAAATTTCATTGTGATAAAGAATAATTGAAGATATTTCAATTTCATGATTATTTGATTTAATAATTGAAAATTGATAACGATTTTGTGTTAATTGAAAAGAAATTTTCATATGACAAATCAAATAATCTACATGATCAATAAATTCAAGATCATAATGTTGAGGAATAATATCGTCTTGAAAATCATCTATTGTCAATTGAATAGGATGATAAAATAAACTTAGAAATATAATCACACTCAATATAAATCCAACAAGAATAAGTAAAATAATAAGAATTTTCATATTTCGATTCAACATTATATTTGTATTGAATTTGTTTAGTCATTAGAAAACAAAACTTTAGTTTATATAGAGAGATATATTTATCCAAATTTGCGAACATAGTTTATTTTTCGTTTTTCTTATTTCTTTTTTTTCAAGATAATGTTCATACAAAGAAAAACAAATAGGTAAGATAAAGTATAGCGTTAAGTTAATTAGGAAGATTGATTTGACAGCACAAAAAATTAAAAAAAGAAATCGGATTGTAGTTAATTGTGCAAATCAAACCTACGTGTTGTTATTGTTTTGAAAAAAAAAAAACTTTGTTATGTATTCATTTATTTATTTTTATTCTTTACCTCTGTCATAATATTGAAAACCACTATACAAAAAGGAAAGGATTATCAGTGTATCATTTATTCTACTAAAGTAAATATCAACGAACCACTCATACATATATTCACATTCGTCCCTCATCTTTGTCCTCTGATTATTCTTGTTATTAAGAAATCAAAAAAAACATAAAAATAGGCAACAAGAAGATTACTCTATCGCCCACATCGCGTCTGACTGAAATCCAACCGCAAGAAAAAATGTGAAGATAAGGATGATCTTTGCGTGGTGTTAAACTTAAAATATACGCGTATGCACACATGACTAACCTAACTACCACGCATTCATCTTAACTGAGAAAGTCATAGCTTTCTTGTGGTTTAAAAAGGATTTGTTTCTTCGATTTTTATCCATTGTATTATTATTTCATTTTTCGAACATACGAAAACGAACAATGCTATTCTTACATCGATATATTATTTTATGTACACTTGCTACATTAATCATCAATGTTATTGGTCAAAGTAAGTTAATATATAAAAAGAATATTTATTAGAAAAACAAAAAATCAAATTTCTTTTGTTTTATGATTTCGTAGACGCATGTCAAGATTTCTCAGCTGATGCAGGAAATTGTACAAAATTTATTCGATGTTTTCAACACTTACGTATTCGATTTACATGTGCTCCTGGTACAGCATGGGAAGATTCACTTAAAACATGTGTATGGCTAGAACAAGTTGAAGCCTGTCAACAAGTTAAAAAACAACGTCAACTGGGTAATTATTTTTTTTTTTTTTACAATAACTAACATTCAAAAAAATAAAATAAAATAGATACAACTAGTGATATGGTTACATATGATGCTGATATAAATGCTCTTAATGATATTCCTGTTGGTCAAACATTAGCTGAAGCACGAGCACTTGGACCAATTGTTACACCAAGACAATATCGATGTTCATTTTGTAGAACTGGTCTTTGTGGTATTGTTGTTAATACAATTCAATGTTTTTGTGGTAATGTTCAATGTCCACCAGCAACAACAACAACAACAACAACACGTATGAAATGTGTATTTTCATTTGAAAGGGAATCTACTTATTTTCATATTTTAGCTCAACCACGAAATCCATGTGCTGATAGTCCATGTAAGTAATTAAAAATTTCTTATTCTAAATAAAAGAAAAACAAAAAAAAAATCTTGATTAGGTTTGAATGGTGGTCAATGTGTTCCAGTAGGAACAGGATTTATTTGTCATTGTCCAGAAACATTTACTGGTAATCGTTGTGAAGCACCAGGTATAATTTATTTTGTTTTTTTTTTGTTATTTATCTATGCAATATTGTTCTATTAGCTCCTACACCTTGCCAACCAAATCCCTGCCAGAATGGCGGAACATGTGTGCCACAAGGTACATCATTTTATTGTCAATGCCCATCAACATTTACTGGTTATTGTTGTGAAAATCGTGTAACTACAACAACACCATTTAATCCATGTGCTCAATCAGCTTGTCAAAATGGTGGTCAATGTATTCCAGCAGGCAATTGTAAGCTCATTATTATTGATGGATTAAAAAAAAAAACAAATAAGATTTTCTTTATTTTGTTTCGTTTTTTTTTATAGCATATGTTTGTCAATGTCCAAATGGTTTTTATGGTACTCGATGTGAATGTCGTAATTATTGTATACCTAATCCATGCCTTAATAATGGTCTCTGCACACAAACAACATCTGGTTACATTTGTTCATGTACATTTCCATACACTGGTACTAATTGTCAACAAGGTAAGTTACTTTTTCAGATATTTTTACTCATTTATTCTATTGTTTTCTTTTTCTTTTAGTGATAACCACAACAACAACAACAACAACTACTGTTGCTACACGTGCACCATGTGGTAATGCTTGTGCATGTATTGTAACACCATGTCCATTTGTTATTGTAACAAATCCATGTGTACCAAATCCATGGTTTGTTTCTTTTATTTTCATTGAATTGAAAAAGATTTTCTATGTGTATGTCTGTGTGCCTGTATTTTTTTAAATGTATAGTCAAAATATGGGTGGATGTGCTGTTCAAAATCGAGCAGCAAGATGTTGGTGTTCAGATGGTTATCAAGGATATTATTGTCAATTTAGTATGTTTTGAAAATTGAATCAATATATATATATCTATTATTGGAAATATTTAGGACGTAGTGCTCGATCATTAATATCAAAAACATGTAATAAGACATGTCTTAATGGTGGTCAATGTTATATAGATGAACAAAAAGGTGGTCAACTTCAATGTTCATGTCCAAATGAATATTATGGACCAACATGCGAATATAGTAATTTATTTCTTTTTTTTTTCTTTTTGTTATTTGAATTTGAAAATTTAATTTGACGTGTCTTTTGTTTTTCTTTTGATTAGTGAATCGACCAAAATCATGTTTACCAAAAAATCCCTGTATGAATAATGGTAAATGTATAACAACAAGTGTTGGTTCAGAATGTGTTTGTCGAAAGGGTACATTCGGTGTTTTATGTGAACAAAGTAAGTTTGTGTTTTTTTTTTCTCTCTCAATGAAATTTAAATTTTATTCTGTATTTTAAGTTGAACGATCACTTAAGGAAAAATATTGTCCACTTGATTGTCAAGGTGGTGGTACATGTGTTTATGTTGGTTCAACAGCAAAATGTCATTGTAAACCAGGTCGAACTGGTCGTTTATGTGAAAAACGTACGTCTTTTATCAAATTCTTTCTTTCTTTTATTTATTTGAATTTATTTTAGTTTCTGGTTAAATAGACAAATCAAGAATGACATTGAAATATTATAATTCAAGAAATTTCATAAACTTTTTTCTTTTTTGCGTATATTTATGTTAATTTTTTTTTTTGACAAGAAATAAGCGAGTCAATAGATCAAAAAGGATTTTTTTTTGTCTGTATGTACAAATAGCTTTCTTTTTTTTTATTTTTATTCTTCAAATATACTATATTCATATTTACGTATATTTATCAAGAAAAGAAAAAACTTGTACTTCTTAATAATGTCATGGTTTTTTTTTTTGTGTTGCCTCAAGTGAATAATTTTCTATTCATGTCTACACAAACATTTTAAGTAGTACAGGAATAAGTTCGATCTTAAAAAATGTTGAAAAGAAAAAAAAAACAAGAGATATAAGTTTTATTCTAACAGAGAACAAATACAACTACTGATGGAAGAATTGTAGTAGTTGGTCTTGGTGCAGTTTGTTTAGCACATCAATATTTACATAACATGCAGCTTGATAAAATAGGGGAAAAAAAAGAAAGAAGTTGATTTTTTGTGCATTATGTATTTTGTTTTTCTAGAGCCCTCCATAACGTTACCCTCATCATCATCATTATCATCGATCACTAAGACAAGCATCTGAAACATCATCAGGTTCTTATATGTCAATTTATTTGTCGATTCGAACAGCCGATGTTATTTAACCAATGCAACGTTATACGCATAGGATTAATGCTTATGGCTACATGCATCAATAATATTTTGATGATTCTTCTTACATGAAAAGTACACTTATTTCAATTTGTGAAACATCTTTGTTAATTAGTTGTCAAGTCTATGTTGAAATAAACGTTCTGACTTTTTTTTTTCTCATACATGCCAATCATAGATCATAAGAAACAGAGAGAGACAGAAAAAAAAATGATGATAAGTTGTTCTTACTGACGTCTGTCTACTTCTAGTAATAATCATAAGAAAAAAGAAAAGGCAAAGTATAGAAAAGTCTATCATTGCTGATACTGTACAGATGGATTTATTTATCTGTTTTATGTATATGAGAGACAGTTCTAGTAGATATAGTAAATGAGAAAGAGACAGAAACAGAATACTAAGAAAATAGTACAATATATATGCATAGTTGGTATAACCGCAACTATCGATCCTTTTAGGCAAATAACATACGTACTTGCTATTCTTATTATTATCATCACTCGATATACAGTTATTGATTCTGGAACAAGTAAGTCGAAGTGTGAGTGAGAGAGAGAGAGAAAAAAAAGAGAAAGTAATCATTCCTTTCATCAGTACTTAATAAATGATTGATTTTGTACGATTAGTCTGTCGATAAAAGTGAACAAGAAAATAAAGAAAAAAAAAAAGCAGAATCTTCTAACACTTAATTAATACAAAAAATAAAAAAGACAAGGATGGATATTCTCAATGCTTTTCATCGTTTACCACAAATAAGTTATTTTGGTATTCGACGTGACGATGATTTTGCTGATCGTTTAAATTATAAATATACAGTTGGTTTATTAATATTTTTTTCAATTGTTGTTGCTAGTAAACAATTTTCAAATGATCATATTCAATGGTATGAATTTACACAAACAAAAAAAACTAATTTATTAAAGAAAATAAAGAATTTTCTTGGTTTTTTTTTGTTTTTAGTTGGGTACCAGCTATATTTACACGAAATTATGAAATTTATGTATCTAATTATTGTTGGATTCATAATGTAAGACAAAAAAAAAAAATTTGTTTGTTTGGTTTTTTCAGTAAACATTTTTCTTAGACTTATCATATTAATATAAGTGAACCAAATATGAAACGAACTAATGAAAAACGTTATGTATTACGATATTATCAATTTGTTCCATTTATTTTACTTATACAAGCTTTATTCTATTTACTTCCACGTTTATGTTGGCGTTCATTTAGTCGTCATTCAGGTATTGATATAAAAAATTTAATGGATGCAGCACATAATCTTAAAAATGTTAAACGTTTTCATAAACATAAATCTATTATGAGTTATCTTGTTTCATTAATTCATCAATATATTGGTGATCCAAGAAAAAAATTAAAACAAGAACATAGTCGAATTATAGCTTATATACAAGGTTTACTTAGTTGTATAATTAGTGCAACAAATACATTTAATGGATATTTATTTTTTCTTTATTTATTTATGAAATTATTATATATTATAAATACACTTGTTCAATTATATGCTATACGTCTTTTACTTGAACAACAATGGACTGTCAATGAAACAATAAAAGATTTTCGTCGAATATTTACAATAAATATTTTACGTACAAATCCATTATCAAAATATTTTCCAAAAATTAGTATGTGTGATTTTCGTATTATTGAACCAAATAGTGATGATGGACATAAATATACAGTTCAATGTAAGTTATTCAACATGAAATACATACAAATGATTGAAGTTGAAAGGAAAAACAAAAAAACGAATTTCAAATATAAGTATAACAATAAACAGTTATTATAGCTACATATTCTAATCGTTACTGGAAAAGCAAATGGCTCTAACGGCCTCTTGAGCTCAGATTTAGTCTGATTGGTGGAAAAACGATTTGATAAGATTAGGAAACCACAGGAGAATATGTACAGATAGTCGGTTGTCTAAAAGAAGAAAAAACCTAGTGCTATTTTATTGCGTTTCTCTACTCATAGATACGATCTCCGAAAAACAAGATGAAGAAGTTTGACATAAAATTTTTCTAACGAGGAAATTCTTCCAACTGATAACCTACGTTTGACTTCATATTTTGTTGATTATTGAGATCCATTGTTTAGATAAACAGTGCTAGAATGATTTTTGTCTGAAATTTTATCTGAAAATAGATCTCACGGATCTTATAATATCCTATAAGTTTCAGCCAAAACTATAAAATATCTTGAGAAGAAACTATCTGTTCTTGCTGGAACTTTCAGAATATTATAAAAACCACAAGTTCTATTTCCAAAAAAAATTTCAGACTAGAATTACTCGCTTCGATTTTCCTCGTCATATTCTCGAATAGACCGATAATTCAATAAAATAATCATAGCTGAAAAAGGACACATTTTCTTTTAGAACTTTTATCTACACCATGGACAAAAATTATCAGTTGAACAAATTCTTTCGTTAGATTATTGATAAAAATTATTCTTCGACTATCTTTTCCTAATTGTAAGATCATTGAGTTCGATTATTATCTATAATAGGAATGATATCATTCGTTATGTCGTTGCATAAATTTCTCTCATTAATATACATGATAATCCAACTTCGTAGAAAACTAGTTCTCTATAAAATATTATATCTAAGATAATTTTTACATTTCTAAATTCAAATCTTTCTACATTGTTTTGAAATCTTTTTATTTTCTAAGACATCTTTTATAAATATACTCTACATAAGTTTTCCGGGTTTTTTTTATTTATATTAGGTGTATTAACTATAAATGTATATAATGAACAAATTTTTACTGTATTATACATTTGGATGAATATTGTTCTTGTAGTAACTATTTATAATTTTATATCTTGGTTAATATTTTTACTTTTTCCACGTCTTCGTTATTCATTTTTTACACAACGTATACATATGCAACAAAGTATAACAACATTACGTACAAGTATGCATGTATTTGTTTATAATTATTTACAATATGATGGATTTTTTATTTTACGTCTTATACATTCAAATATTGGTGATGATATAACATCAAATATTTTAACAAATCTATGGAGAAATTTTCAACGTTCTGATAAACCGACATCAGTTGATAATTCAATTGGTGCTACAATATCATTGACAGCAACTGGTAATAGAGGTTTAAATATGAAAACTAATGGCCAAACTAGTTCCCTATTTGACTATACAAAAACTAGTACAAATCTTTAAGGATTTGTATTGTACAATGTTTTTTTTCCAGATATAATAAACATGACATATATATATATATATATATATTGTAGAATAATTAATTATTATGTATTTCTCTATTATATAGAAGAAATTAACTTTCTATAGGGAAATCTATTAGAAATAAGCTATTTGCACCAAACGATAAAAGATGTAAGATTATAAGATAATGAAAAAATTTTTCATATGGACTTTTTTAATTGATTTTATATTCAATATTAATTTACGAATAAATAATTAATTCATGATGTTTTTCACGAAGATAAGACGAACTCATTTTCTTAAAAAAAAAATTTTATCTTTTCATAATCATCATGTTTATCTCTAATAAATCATTTACTAACTAATCATCTAATGAAATCTTATTTCATTCTAATATATTTTATTAATTTTAAAATATATATGTATATATATATATATATAAAATACAAAAGCAAAACACTTGATTATACAGAAATATTTGGTGGTATTTTCATTGGTTCATTTGAATACACAATTTCTCTTGTTATATCCATCATAAGTAATTCACGTGCATAACCACGTACAATAAATTCTCGAAATTCATTATAATCTAATTTACCATTATAATCCCAATCAACTTTATCAATATAATATCTTATACGTTCTCGACTAACAGATTTACCAATAATACGCATTAATGTTTCAAGTTCATCAGCTTGTATATAATGATCACCATTTTTATCAAATGAACAAAATGCTAACCATATTGAATAATCATCATGTCGATCAGTTTGACCACCAGTTATAACCGGTATAAGAATATCGCAAAATTTATCAAATGTTAATTCTTCTCCATAGAGACCCATAAAATAAAAATAAAAAACAATAATGATCATTATTATTTATGTTTATAATTAACAAGTCTACCTCTTGGCAATAGAAGAGATTTCATTTGATCATATTGTTGTTTTGTCAAGCTTAATTTATACTGATGACCATGATATTTGTCTTGATCTCGTTTTTCACGTTCGAACCAATCATAAATTACTAGATCAAATGAAAGAAAGAATAATTCGGAAATCATGTGAAGATGATAATTGCCGATAATATCCCGAATCTAGTGGTAGAATTAAAGTTTTGATAAATGAATTCTTATTATTATGATATTCGCCTTCAAGTTTGATATCTTATTAAAGAATATATAGCTCTTCTTCTCTTGGTTATTCAAAAAAAAAATCATATTAGGTGATTTTACACGAACTGAATTCTGAATGAAAGCTTTATTGATGAATTAGATCATATTTTCTGCTAAAGGTACCTCACCTTTTTCTAGGGGTTTCTCAAGAATAGCTCGACCAAAAATTTTGAAACTTTCAGAACTAGATAGATCTCGACTAGTAAAGTAAAAGTTGTCATACACATAGACTTCTCGAATGCTTTCTTCTATGAGATATAGAGGATGTAAGGGTCAAAAATGACCTGAAGTTCCATTCCTGCAAACAGCCATAATTCAATGTTTTTTGTAATGACCAAGATCAAATTGAGGTATATATGTTTTTCTTTGAAATAAAATGTTGTTTTTTTTTCACTTATGAAAACCAAAATACTGAAAGTCTTGTCAAAAGAACGTATTTTTCTTTACCTAGGGCAAACTTTGTAAGATCTACTACAAAACACCAGAACATTATTTTAAGAAAAAAAACAAACTCATATACACTTCATTTTGATCCTAGTTGTCAAACAAAAAATTTTCAACTCAATGAGTCGAAGCATCTGACAGAAAAGGGAAAAAAAAACTTCAATTTTTCTGTTGGAAAATGGATTTTGAGAAAAATGCAAAACTATGTACAGTTTTTCGTTATTTCTGTTATGTAAATTTGATTTTTAAATGTTATGAAAAAAAAATTTTTGGATCATGCAAGGGGTCCCTTAATTGTATTTTGAAGACTAAATAGTTTCATTGATATTTAGAGCAAAACTATGATACTTTATGACATGCAATATGTTCTTCTCATTTTATTCAAACTAATTGTAAATGTTTCTAATATTTTATGTAATCGAAAACATTCATATTTGGCAAGTTCAAATCCAATAGACATGATCGATATGACATATTCAATTATTTTTATACAAGCAGAAATGTTTTATTCTGTTATGTAAATTTGGCAGTGTATAATATGAATAACTTATAAGTACTAAGTAAAAAAAACAACAATTTATAGAATCAAAATTTGAAAAAGTTCGATCTACCATTAAATAGTATCTAATTTATTTTTTTAAGAAATAGAAAACAGAATAGAATTTTATCAATAGTGTAATCACTCTCTACAATAGAAAATTAGACACATAACTTCCGAATGATTCTGAAAATGTCTATATATCAATGATGATTACTACCAGAACTTAATTAGTCTAATAACGATGATCTAACAAGGACGATCATGTACACATAAATGATGAATTCTGATCTAATTTAAAATATAAAATTCTATACACACAAACCTTTGACAAGTTCTCCATTAACCTTCTTTGTATATTTACCATATCGTCTAGAACATGTATAATATTAAAAGAAAAAAATATTTATTTATTTGATATTTATTTCAATTCTTGTTTCCTATCACCTGATAACATTCTCGTAGATTGGTAGGTGTATAAGATTCTCCATTGAATTACGTTCCATCATCATATACGTTCTTATTTATATATTTATAGACAACAGTTATTCTGTTAGATGTATATATGTATGTAAACTGGATGAGTGGGCAACAGAACAAGCAAGGCGTGGTTGCCTGCAGCTGCCACGGTTTCTAAATGAATAATGTAAGCGAGACATAGAAAAAGAGAGAAAGACCTTTTTTTTTATCTACGTTCTATATTCTTCGTTGTCGATCGGCTTTCTTTTTTTTTTTTTGCGTCACCAATTGGAGCGAAAGAAACAGAAAAATAAACGATATACGAAGAGTGACAAGCACAGGCGTACAAATTCTTTGTTCTTTAATTCCCCCGTTGGATTAATCATGGAAATAAGTTGACCTATTTAGCCTTGATCAATGAAAAGAATATATCAAATAGAAATATATTTTTTGAAAAAAGAAAAAAGAAGATAAAAGGTTTCAGATTGTTTATTTTTAAATATTCAAGGTAATAAAAATCAATGAGAATAAATTTTATTTTTAATCTATAAATATATATAGAACAATATTGATTAACAAGAAATGTATATTCATCTGTAATGATAAGCGAAATATGATTCTTGATATTAACCTCAGGAGAAATGCCTCAATTTTCTATTACATCATTCATGATTATATGATCATATCTGTATGAAGAACTATTTAATATAAATGATGATTTTATTTTGAAACTTTTTCTTTTTTATTTATAACAATGCATAGTTTTAAAAATACAAAAAAAAACAAGATGTTTTCAAACAAATGTTTCTAAGATTTGTTTTGTAGGTACAATCGAATCATCTGCAGATAAATTTGAACTAATACCTGATTCACTAGATGAATATGGAATGTTTTTATTGATTATATTTAATGATGATCTAAAACAACAAAAACAAAAGAATGAAAATTCAATGTTTTCTTTTTCCTTTTAACTACCGTTTAGAATCCGAAGATAATTTAATATAATTTTCTTGTTGTTGATGAATATGTTTTTGAAAATTTTCTTTTAATTTTTCTAGATGTTTTTCATAGGGAATTGATATTGTTTCAATAATATTATTTCTAATTGTTTCATTTGATAAACATTTTCGTTGAATAATATTTTGTATAAGAATTTCATCAGCAAATCGAACATGTTTTTTCACTTTTTTTAAACATATTTCAAATAATAAACGTCGTGAATAATTTTTTTGATTAATTTTTGCAATAACTTTATAAATACATGCTGAATCATTTAAAATTTTTTTCTTACAATCAGTATAAATATAAAGTAAATAATTGGTTGGATCACATGTTGGTAAAATTAATCGAATAACATCTTGAGCTGTCGTACGATTGTTTAAATTACTAATCCATTTAAGTCGTTTTTCATCATTATTTGTCAATGACATATAACGAACAGGTATTTCACTTATAAACATTGCATTTGATAAATGACCTTAAAAAGATAGAAAAATATTTTGATAAATATAATATCTTAAGATAACATTTATATAATAAAATGTTTAAAAAAAATTAGGAATAAGAGAAAACAAAATTTTGATTATAAGGTCATTAGCCAATTCATGATGAAAGAAAAATATAGACCATAATCATCAGTTGTATCTCTCTATTTTGGAAAACTATCGTTTTTCCCCAACGTAACTCAACGATTTTCTTCGCTTTCCTTTACTCACCAAAACTCCACAATAAAGTTCGACTTCCGCCTCAATCTTGATGCACAATGAGCAATTTTTATCACAAGAGAATTTTTTTGATAGAAATATTAGCTTATTGTACTCAAAAATAACATTGATGAAAAAAAAGATCATTTCTGATGGAAAATCTCTGAAGTGGATCCTTACCCTAAGCCTCGGTATAAAAAACTGTTTATATTATTTTACGATAAAGAAATCGCGAAAAGACTGTATCTCCATCTAGAAGCATTTGCACTAACTAAATGTCAATTATAGAAGAACATGCTCGGAAAGTTTCATCGATATCATATTAGTGGAAAAAAGTGACGGTCAAATATAGTGAAGACGTCTTTTCGGAAAACGCTTAATGTAAAAAGAATAATTATTTTTTCTGAAGGAAAACTTTTCTTTTTACTGAATAGAGAATAAGACCTAGTTTCAGATTATATATGATTTATTGTCCAACTCTTACAAAAAAATGATGTATCTCTAATGTTGCTGAAATTTGACCTTTTTGTAATTAAGTTTTTCTAATGAATTTAGTAGATGAGACAAAATTTTTTCTACTAAAAAAATGACTTGTTAATTATAAGTGTATAAGTTACTATTCAAATCTCAAAAAAGTTCACTATCATTTTTCCATCCAATATCTACATGATTGTCCACTTTGTGATACCTTAGTAATCATAAAGGATTCTTTATAAATATATATCCCTAAATGAATCATTCTATTCGAAGGACTTACTAAATAAAATTTAATAAATCCCGTTCTCGAGTCTATTTTTCTTTCTCTTATACTTACTTTCCATATCGATGATTATAGTGAACTAATATTATTGATTGAACATACACTTGATATATATATACAAAATCGGTTGAATGAACGCGTAATTGGATTACATTTGCACTATATCGCACATAATCAAATGATTGCTCGAATATTTTCTCTCTCTCTCTCTGTTTCGTTCTCTATTTTTTGTCAATTTTTATTGTTTTATGTTAACAATGATTGGTAAATTGATTTATCTTTAATTGTTACTGCTGGTGCATGAGATTTTCTATTATGAGAAAAAATTCATTTTTCTAGTAAAAGAATATTAGAAAAAAAGAAACGAAGTACAACACCAGGTTGAAATATAAAAAAAGAAACAATAATGATAATGATGACATTCGATTAAATGTTATCTATTGAAAATTGAAAATCAATCGAAAGAAGAAGTGAGCAACACATCATCAAAGTGAATTTGCCTCGAACAAAAATAAAGCATAATTATAATGTACACTTAGGTGTTTAATACACATTGAAATAATTGAAGATGAAAGAAAATTGAATGAACTCTTTTTTCCTCTGGTTTATTGATAGTGAAGAGAAGAAAAGTAATGATAAAAAGAGTATTTTATATATATTCAAATACGATGACAACATAGATCATATTTGTTTCTATTTCATAGAATAAATGAATTGGAAATCAATTATGTATATCAAATAATGAAAATTTGAAATATTTTATTTATTAGATAGAAGATGATGAATATGTATTTAAAAACAAACATGTTTTATTATTAGTTTTATGTCAACTGATAAATAGAAAGGAAAAGACTTTAAGCTGATTTAGATTTGAATATTGTCATATGTTCATATTTTTGTGTTAAGAGAAGATATGGAAAATATCACGCTTGTTTAAATCAATAAATCTCTTATATAACATCTTCTTTTCTTAGAAAAAAAAATTGTATTAGATGATTCTCATCGAATAGAACGTGCCAAGATTAAAATTCTGATGTCATTGAAATAAATCGAGAGGAAAGAATCGAGTTCGTTTTTGTCTTTCGTAATGAAATATGTTGATTAATATAAATGATTTTGTCTGTGATTATTATAACTATTATCTTCGAAGAATGTGATTTATTTGAAGATATGTAGGTACATTTTTTAATAGTATGTATTAAACTTTTTTTTCTTGGTCGAAATGAACATGTAAAACCATAGAAGATTTGATTAAGCTAACAAGCAATGTGAGACGAATGAAAATATCTTATCTCAATGCTGAAATAAAGAAGTTTCGTTTTCTCTTGTTTGTTTGTTTGTATTTTTGTTACTAAGAAACATATAAGTCTAGTCCAAATGAATAATATCGACCATTCTGCATGTATATAATCTCGATAAAATCAACCATTTTCATTCTGTTAGCTATCATGTTGCGTACAGTATATTTTTTCGAATATGTACTGTCTTTTATCATTTGTATACATCATGTTTATTCAGTAATTGATTATATCGAAGCAAAATTTCCATTAAGAGTAAGTATAGGTTTTTTTTTTAGTTTTAATCAAGAAATTTTATTATATCTATGAATTAATAAATGTACAAAAGAAATAACAAAATTGATGAAATATTTAAACAAATAGAGATGTAAGAGAATAAAGAATATAAATTCATTGGTTAGATAAATTTGTCTTTTAGTTAAATTTTTCATAATAATTTCATATGTATAATTATTTAATTTTAGGGTGAACCATCAGCACCAAATGCTCCATGGCCACAACCTCAATATTTAAATGTTAGTTCTGATTATATTTATATTGATCCAGAATTTTTTATTGTCTATTCCAACCTAAAAAATTGTGATATTATTGATAAAGCTATTGAACGTTATAAACCAATATTTTTTCCACCAAAATTATCAATTCAAATTCCAAATATATTTCATGAAGATCAAATTTTTCTATCAGTTTCTATTCTTGTAAAATCAAAAAAATGTCATACATATCCACAACTTCATGACGATCAATCTTGTAAATGATTGTTTTTTTTTTTGTTAATTTATTTTCCTTATAATAAATCGAATTATTTATTTAGATAGTATTACAATTGAAAATTCTTATGGAATTATTTTTGCTGAAAATGTTTGGGGTGCACTTAATGGTCTTGAAACATTTTCACAATTACTTTTTATTAATGAAAATAATTATGTAAGAAGTTTATTAATTAAAAAACAAAAATAATTAAATAAATATTTTAATTTCTGTTTTTCATAGTTAGTAACAAATGCTTCAATATATATTCATGATTGGCCTCGTTTTCCATATCGTGGTATTCTTTTGGATACAGCTCGTCATTTTCTACCTGTTCCAATAATTAAACAACATTTAGTAATTAAATTCCGATCAAAATATATAGTTAAATCTAGGTTTTTTTTCTCTAAAGGATGCAATGGTGTACAATAAATTTAATGTTTTTCATTGGCATATTACCGATGATCAATCATGGCCGTTTGTTTCTCAAAAATTCCCACAATTAACTGAAAAAGTTGAATATAATTTATTTTTTTTTTTGGATATTTTTGTTTTTGCATATAAATTTTTCTAGGGTGCATTCTCATCTGATCATGTTTATACACCTGATGATGTTCAAGATATTATTGAACATGCACGTCTTCGTGGCATTCGTACAATACCTGAATTTGATACACCAGGTCATGTCGCTGCTCTTGGACGTGCATTTCCTGGTTTGTATTCATATTATAGAAATTGCCTTTATTATTTTACATATTTTTTGTTTTTAAATAAAGAATTTTTAACTGATTGTTATAATGGTTCAATAGCAGGTCAAGCTATTTATGGTGTACATGCTGAACGAGAAATTCTTGATCCAACAAAAGAAGAAGTTTATAAATTTATGAATGAATTTTTAAAAGAAGTAAAAAATATTTTTAAATATGAATCATATATACATCTTGGTATGGATGAAGTTTATCCAGCTTGTTGGTATGATCAGTTTAAATAAAATTTTTACAAATAAAAAAAGATTTCTTGTTCTTTTATTGTTTTAATAAATTGAAGGATGTCAAATCCAAATATTCAAAATTTTTTAAAAGAAAATAATATGTCGAATGGAACAGATTTAATGACATATTATTCAAAAGAAATTCTTAAATTAATGAAATCAATTGGTGGTAAATCAATGGTATGGCAAGATATATGGGATGATGGTGTTAAATTACCATCAGATACTGTTATTGAAATATGGAAAGATACTTCACTTTTATCTAATAGTCCATCGTGGTCTTATTATTTATCAAAAGCTACAAGTGAAGGATATGATGCTGTTCTTGCTGCTCCATTTTATTTAAATATGTAAAGAAATAAAAAAAAGAACTTTTGTTTTTCTTTTTTATAAGATTTAAATGTTTTATTAGGATTAGCTATGGTAAATATAATACACCTGAATCGGTAATGAATTTAGAATTTTTTAAATGGTATAATATTGATTTATTTGAAAATTTTACTGGTAGAAAAATAAATTTATATTTTATAATAATAAATAAATAAATAAAAATATTTATTTTATTTCAAGGTGATAATATTGCTCGACAACGATTAATTGGTGGTGAAGCTGCACTTTGGGCAGAATTTATTGATGGTACTAATAGTTTATCTCGTTTATGGCCTCGAGTATCAGCTGTTGCTGAACGTTTATGGAGTTCAATTTATGTAAATAATCCAGAAGATGCTCAATTTCGACTTGATGTTCATCGATGTCGAATGCTTAGGTTAGAAAATAATTGATATATACATGATATATTTTAGGCAAAATTAAACTTAGATAGAGTTCATTTTTAATTAGATACAAAACGACAAAAAGATTTTTCTTTTACATTAAAAAAAATCTATACCACGTATTTATTTTTTGAAACTTATATTTTTGAAGAAAATAGTGAGTGTAAATTTTAAGTCGAAAATTTTTGGTTGCCCACTACAGACCTTAGCAATTGGAATTAAAGGCTATTGAATATGTTTCCATTGCAACCACAGATATAAATCATTGTGTAAGCCTTTGATTATTTCATTTTACTTGTTACAAATTTTAAAGTATATTACATTACATAAAAAAATTTATATTACATTACATGGAATATGTCAGCTTCACATTTCAACCCCAAATAAGCTGTGCACTAACAAGCTTTTTTTAATTTGATAAAGTATTCATTTTCATGTGTTCTTATTGTAGTGTATGTATCAATGACGTCTTCTGTATCGATATCACAAATTGATTTTCGAAAATATTTTTATGAATAAGCAAATCAACATACGACATTTTTTGAGTATTAAATTTCGAGATAAGTTAGTTTTTATTGTACCATAGGGTATACATAAACTAAAAAAATCTCTTCATTGTTTGTTTTTGGTATGGACATAACAAAGCTTAACAATACAATATATTTATACTTAATATGTCATCTATAGAGCACGTTTAATTCGAAGACAAATGACCATCAATAAAAAATGGTATTCAAAAAAGCATAAGCTTAAATGGTTCTTTTTGTTTTGGTCAAAGTATGCTAAGATAAACTAGATTTCAATTGAGAATATTAGCAAACTTTACAGCTTCCTTAATTCAACTATACTTGAATTAAAGTTAAAAATAAGTTAATAAAAAAATATAAGATCAATTATTTATTTTCAATTTTATTTTATTTTTATATCATTTAAAAATTCTAATTTAATCTTGCCTAACACAAAAATATCTATAAAACTTTGATAAAATAACAAAAAATTCTTGATTAATATTTTTATTAATTTTGTTTTAATAGACGTGGTATTCCAGCTGCACCAATACTTAATGGTTATTGTGGTTCATATGAAGTAGGAATGAAACATTCGATGGTTAATGAACCTATTTTTAATTATATTAATTGATATACATATATATATACATAGATGTTTATTTTATAGTTTAATAAAAGAACTTAAAGGATATAATAATGTAGAACAATTTTCATAGATAGCCTTTGAATTTTTATTAATAAGATTTTGAACATGAGTTATCCATTGAAAATCAGGTAATGCAACAATTGGAAGATCTTTATAATAAGCTTCTATATATTTAACATATGTTTTTAATCGATCTCGATCTTCTGTTAAATGATTAGTCCATTCAGTTTGACTATGTGCATGATATAAGAATTGAGCAAGAATATTATCAATTCGATTTATCATATCTATAAATTCAAATTTAATATCAGTATGATGATGTTCGATTAAACATCGATAACAAAATGAAATTAAACAATGAGAACATTGATAAGTATTAGTTAATGTTAATTCAGAAGAACATTTACATTTAATTAATAAATTTGTTGAAGGCATTATAATATTAATAATAAATGATCAAAACTTCTTATAGTAATTTATGAATAATATACATATTGTTTTGTTTATATAGTCTTCAAAAGCGACCTCTGCAACCCTAACTTTCCATTGCAATAATTTTTCTTGGAGAAAGCCTATTACGAAAAGTAAGGAAAGAAAAAAAAACCCATGATAAAGTCTTTCGTAAGTAGGAAGTGACTTCTTTGCGTTATTTGTATATTTATCAATATAGCTTTTCTCAGAACATAATGTTATTTTTAGATCGTAATTTGGCAAATGAGTGTATAAATCAAAGGATGTATTTCACTGTCAAGAAAAAAGAAATGCGTAAACATTAATTTCTATTTTTGTGGTTTCGTTCTTAGAAAAGAAAAATGTAAAATGATACATAGTAAGAAGGATATCGATGGATTCAAATCCATTATATAATAATTAATTAAGAACAAGTATATATATATATATATATATTTCATTAAAATTTATTTGCTAGAAAATTCTTTATTCACAAATCAATTAAGACACATAAAATCTATCACATCCAAGGTGTTGGACACGGTGGATTAAGCAAGGATTTAGCACGATGCACATTATGATTAGAATTGCTCGTATGACTTAAATCATGTAAACGTAATGATGGTGTACTAGAAAAAAGAAAATATTTGTTTTTATTTATTTATATAAACAAAAAAAAAAAGAAGAAAAATTTACTAGCGTCCTTTAGGTGATTGAGATTGTCGAGTGAAACTTAATGGTGTTGTTGTCATTCGATGACTTTCAATACGAAAATCTTGAAAACTCTCTGGTCGAACTCCTAAAATAATATATAATTAATTATATTCTGAGTATAAAAAAAAAATCTAAAGCTTTACCTTTATATAGAGCATGATCTCTTGATGATGGTGATGTTAATATTGGTACACGTGGTATTCTAAAAAAAAATTAATAAAAAAAAAATTTATCAATCAATATCCTATAACATACCCATAACTAGTTAATGGTCGAAAAGATCGACGTACAAGTGAAGCAACAACTTTTTCCATGCGTCCTATTCGTTCATTTTGCATATCAGGTCCATTAAACCATTGTAAAGCATTATGCACTGGTATATGAACACGATGTGTTGATGATCGTCGACTAGTAACTGGTGTTACAGGAACATTTGATGAATGTTCAAGTATTGACATAATACGTGATGGTTCATAATCATTCATATTTGATGAATGTGCTGGTTGTTGTATTTTTTCAAATGATACAATAGGTGCATGAGGTTGATTAGGCATAAGTAGAAGCATTGATTCAATAAGAACTGGTGATGTAGAAACAGTTTCACCATTGATAGAAGTTTTTATTTGTTCTTGTTTTTGTTTTATTATACGAACAGACATAGGACGTTCGATGATTGATATTCTTCGAAGTACAAAAAACAAAAAAGAAGAGTTCACATAAATAAATAAAATAAGATCAATTTATCTACTCTTCTGGTGTAACCACTTTACGTTCAATTATTGGAGAAGTTGGTGGAGGAGAATTTGATATGTCTTGAGAATTACGTGTTGTTTCTTGATGAATAATAGGAACTGATGGAGAAGGAGTTGTTTCACGTGGTGCATCAACAAATGCTTCTCTAGATTTTGAAAAAATAATAAAAATTTTATTAAAGAAAAACAAAAAAAGATTAAATGACATATACTTTGGTTTATTGAGGTCTATATTTAAAAAACAAAAAACAACAACCTATTGAATTACATTGAAAGAAAAATAGTACAACTTACTCATTTCAAAAAGTTTTGGTGTAACACGTCCTTTTTCAATAGATTCTGATGTCTAATTAACAACAAAAAAAAATGTATTTTAAACTGATAAATTAATTATCTAAATGCTTACTCTTGATAGTATTGTTCTTGATGAAGATGGAAGTGGAGGCGGTAGTAGCGAAGGAGGAACTAATCGAGGTGTTTCACTTCGTATTGTTGTCATTTGTAATGTTATTTTATCACCAGATGCAAATTTTGGTTTCCAATATTCATGTGAAGGATCCCATTCAAAATTATTCATATTAACATAAGTAGTATGATCATTTGCTGAACCATTACTAACCATCGCACCATTAAGAGCAAGAATATGATCAAGTTGAATCATTGCAATTTCTGTATCGGGTAATGTTACAATACGACCAAAACTTTGTGGAGCAGTTAATATACGATCACCAATAGCTGAATAATAATCATAAGACTTTTTCTTTGATTTTTGTAAGAAGAAATGTTAGTAAGATGACTTTTTTTTTTGTATTATTATTTAAAAAAAAGAGAAGAAGAATAAGAGGAATACAACGTCATTTACTATTTTTTGTTTTTGTTTAAGAGATTTTCTTAATGAAATTATTATATCAAATTGTTTTTTCGTACATCAAATAAATTGTGAAGAAATAATGTGATATTAGTTTTATTTCGACAATTAAACAATTCAAAGACAACATTTGAAAGTTTTAATCAAGTTGTAATCTCATATTAGGTCAACATGTTCGTGATGAGGAATCGACCCGACACATGGGTCCGGATGCAAACTCGTCTAATCAGTTCAGATCCTTAGTATGATCTCACTTCGAAGTCTGACCCATCAATTAATGAGATCTCGACGTTTTGAAACATTATTTGCTAATTTATATAAAAGCATAATAGTGAAAACTTCATGATTGAACAACTTTTTATACTTGAGAACAGATTACAGAAATGGAAAGAGATATTGGTTGGTTAAAAAAAAACATTCTTTTTTTAATGAAAATTCATCTAGAAATGATGATGAAGTAATTGAATATATGGAGAAGAAAATGAATTCTGAACAAGATGAACATGAATTATCGTGAGGGAAAAAATATTCATGTATGTATTCATAATTATGATGTTTGGCATCAACACTATATTCCATTTCAATATCAAGCCAACGTATACTTAGTGAAATTGATCGGATTTTAGGAATAGAAAGACACTAAGTGAATCCTGAATCACTTGCTTTTTTTGTGGAATTTGAGATGATCTCTTTTCTTTCGTTGCTGCTTATGGAAGAAACCAAATTATATACTTTTTCATATACAACAAAAAATTCGTACCATGTAGGGTGCTACTCATTAATGTTAAAAGTCTGTTACATTCTCTATAATTCTTTTAATTTATTTAAAATCTATCTCACTCAATACATGTTATTATATAGGATTCAGACAACAGATCTTTAGATTGCATAGGAATACTCATTTTATAACTTAAATGTATCTGTCATAGACGAGTTAATTAAAAAACATAAATGAACACCTCTATCATTTAAATTTGCGTATGTATATATATCGCAATGATATATTTACAAAACTAGATTAATTTCATAGATGAAAATTTACCCGGTATACGATTAACATTTGCACGTTGTGAAGATTTTGGTGATAATACAGTTTGTTCCTGTAATCGTTTATTTGAATTTTCAATTTCTGGTTTTGTCGTATCCTAATCAATGGAATACGTTAAGATATTATGCAAATAATATATATATATATATTTTTTTTTTAAAATATTACATAAACTGCTGGTAATGGTTCATTAATTTTTTTCATTCGTTTAGATGATAATGTTCGAATAGTCATTTTTATTATATTGCCAATAATTGAACTAAATAATTCTTTTTGTTCTTCACCTGTTTTCTATTGATTAAAAAAGAAAATAGAAATATTTATTGGCTGATATCGACTTCGATTTTTCTTACTTGATCAGCATTAAAACTTTGTAAAACATCTCTAATACTTCCATATGCTGGTGATCGTTCTAATGCTTGTTTTAAAATAGAACTTACATCTAACAGGAAGAAAAAAAAGATCTTAATCTTATCGAATTGAATTATTTCTTTTTTGTTTTTAAAACATACTTGCATTATTAATAAGTGTATAAAATAATGGACACATAATTAATACTTGCATAACTTCAAGACAAACCATTGATTTTGCTTCAGAAATTCTAAAGATTTTAATATAAAAGAAATTATTTATATTTTCAATTTTTGTTTTTACAATCCAGGATTTGAATGAACTTGATTCGTATTTGAAGAAGAAGACAATTGTCGTACTTGATTTGTAAGAACAATTGATAGACTATTAAAAAGTTTATCATAAAATGCTGCTGGCTAAAAGAAAAAATAAACAGAAGATTTGGATTTAAAGAAAAATAAATAATAATTTACATGATTGTCATCTCGATCAAGTCGTGCACCTGCATGAACAAGAGATGCAATCATACATTTTAATTGTTCACTTGATGAAAATATATGAGAAATATTTAAATTTCTAAATAAATATAAATTCATCGAAATATTTATTTAATCAAAAAATATAGCTTTTTTTTAAAATAAATACCCAATAGTTTTTATGTGAGTAACATCTAAAACATTATGTAATAATTCACCAGGAATTTGATAAATAATATCAGTCTGTTGAAAATAACAAAATAAAAATATTAGAAATTTAATTCAATGTTATATTATACAAAGACCAGACGAAAAAATATCAAAAATTTCAACTAACAAGACATTCTTTATTTTACTAATATTATAACATAGATTACACATATAGAGGCAGCGAAATGTTTTCATTCTATGTTAGACTCAATATTTTTTATAAGATTCTCATTTGTATGTTAAAACGTGCGTGAAGATGAATTTTTGAATGTCATTTAGATGAAATATAGCTACTGTCTCTTCTATTGAATTCATGTTTTGTAACGTGTAACAGTAGTATAGATCAAAAAACATTTGAATATTTATGTTCATCGAAATGCGATCTTCGAAAAGAAGAGATTCTGATCTGCTTTACCGAAAAAAGTTTAATGACGAAATCGAAATGTTTCACAAAAAAGTAAGATGTTGCATTGTGGGCTTCTTCAATGTTAAAAATGTTTAATCGACATGTAATCTTAGTCATCGAAGGCAAAGGAAAATTTTGGCAGATTCTAGTTCATCTGTCTGATATTTTTCTTATAGCTTTTCTTCACTTATAATAAAGAACCTCATTTCATGTCATTGCCGATATATGATTCAATATTTACTTGGACAAAAGTCAATGTTTTCTCAAAAATGCTTTTCTAAGTCTGCTTATTTACGAAAATGTTATTAATAGCTGTCAGAGGTGGCGAAAAAAATTGGCGTTTGTACAAAAAATGTGATGCGTTGCTCAAATCTATCAATTTAATGGAAGAAAAAAATTTCGAATAAAACCGCGGTTTGAGTAGCGAAAAAATTTAGCTCGCATCGCGATTTTCTCTGTTCCTACCGTGGCTTCGACCGGCTTACAAAAATCGAATAAATGTTCTGGTTTTCACCACTTATGGAAACCACGGTTTTATTCCAATTACTATATTTTTCCCTTCCGACCTATGAATTCATTTATGAAATTATGTATTACTTACGACAAGTAAAATAAGAAGCATATTAAATTCTTCAATATGTGTTTGTCGAAGATCGATCATTTGTGGAAGTATATGACGATTTTGTGTGAGAAATTCGTCATATTTTCTAATTAAAAATATATATTTAAATAACTTTTTTGTTTTTATTTTTGTTAAATATTTTCATACTTTTCATCATCATATTTCATTTCTGTAAGTAATAAATCTTGAATAGTATAAGCTAAATGTTTTATTCGTTTTTTATCAAGTTCTATATAAACTTTTTCTTTAATACGAATTATTTATAATTTCTTTCTACCTGAATTAACAAAACAATTCATTGGAAATTTAGCAAATAGTTCAGTTGCCTATAGAAGAGACCAAAAAAAATAATGAAGTTGCTGTTAATAAGTTATTTAAATCTTATTCTTACTTTTGCTCCAAAAAGTCCATTAACTGAACGATCTTTTAAATTTGTTGGCATAAATATATCACGTGCTAATTTTCGTCGCTAGAAAAGAAAAAACAGATTTAAACTCGCGGATTTTCATTCAAATTAAATATATCTTACAACAGGTTTTTGTGTTAATGATGATTGTGTAAAGAATTCATCTACTTGATTTCGTTCTGTAGCTAAAAGAAAATCGGGGAAAAAAATACAATATTTATTTGCTTTATTTAATAAGATTTACTTGAAACAAAAATTCCATCACACATCCATATTCGTGGTAAACAATCGAGTATATGTTGACGATCTATATAAATGAATTAGAGGAAAAAAAAATTTTTTTTGCTTTCGTTTTTAGGAAAATATTCTTTGTCTTTTTTTACAATTTGGATCAGCATCAAGAGTAGAATTTCCATCAAGTCGTAAATCAAGAATAAACATATGACGAATATGTTGTAATTCAATCCATGTTAAATTATTATTTGAAAGAATAAGTGAACCAAGTGCTATAAAACGTGATAAATGTTGTAGACTTCGGATCTAAACAAATATTAAAAAAAAAATATAACAAAATTAAAAGATGTTTTGTTTTTTTTAGAAAAGAATTTTCTATACTTGATTGTTTCCGACATCAAGTTTCCACAAATGTTTCATATGTTCAACACCGGCTAATGTTGTCAATGAATTACCATTACAAATAAGTATTTGAATATGTTCATATTGAGGCACTTGAAATAAAGTGACTAGAACAAGTAATAACAAAAGATTACTATCAAAATATCAACGAAAAGCAAAAAAGCAAAAGACATGTCTACAGTAGTTTTATAAATCTAAAAAATTTCTATAATTAATTCCTTCTTGAAAAAAAAGATTTTCATATATTTGAATGTCACAAATAACCAAACGACACGTTTTCGAAAACAATATTTATTAAACTTGAATTTATTTGATTTGTCTATACGTTTCTTCAAGGATAAAATTTTGCATTATTTTCTATTCTATATTACTTTTCAAGGATGACTTGATTCTTTAAATTTCATTTTCATCAAGAAATACTGAACAATCATACTCGATGTATTTCATATTCTATTATTTACTTTCAAAAATTTGATTCAATTCTATTTAGAATTCGATATATTTATGTTACTTAAGAAGGATTTTAGTATAGTAATGAATATATTAGAAAGGTTAAAAAAAAATTGTCCTTGTTGTCGACTTCGACAATTTCTCAATATTTGTTTGTAGGTAAATGTACTTTTACACTTTTGATGTTGAGAATTTATGATGTGTTTATTCTTCAATCTTGATTCGATAGATTTTCTGTTCACTTTCTTTTTTTTTTTTTCTTTTTATAAATCACATACACTTGAATTCAATCAATTTACTCGATCTATTAAAAACCCGTTTTTAATGCATGAGAAAACTTAAGAATAAATCTTTTACACTTCAAATAAAGACAAAAAAACAGGAATACTTTTAAAAGTTTCGCATAAGTCATTTTAAATGTTCGAAAAAGAAAAGAAGAAATATATTAACTAAAAAGAAAAAAGTATATTGCATTAAGTTATCCTAGATAAATTTTTAATTTTCACGATATTATGAAGAAAAAAAAAAAAACACATGTGAAATGAAAAATTCTTCCTTGCATTTGAGTCCATTCATATATTTATTTAATCACAACTTTAAACAAATCCATATATAATTTAATTTTACTACTACTATTGAATTTATTGACATACAACAGTGAGAATTCAATCAACAAGTTAATTTCATTTATATAGCTTCATTGATTAAGATTATGGTTTAAAAAAAAATTTCATACTGAAAATTTAATCAAATAGTTCTACATAATTAACGAAAAATATTCTTACTTATTCTTGTATGACTAAAATTTGCATAATCATTTTTTTCTTCACTAGAATTGTTTCTATTTAGTGATGCCTAGAATCAGAAAAAGTAGAAATAGTTTTAATATTTAAAACAAGGAAAGAAGAAAAAAATAATTATATTTTCTAATCAAACTTACTCGAATAGTAACCTTCATTGATATGTATTAATCATGATACATTTAAGTGATTTGAAGAGTTTAAAATAAACTACAATAGCAATAAAGAAAAAAAAATGCACACTTGTCAAGTATGTCCGGACAATCAATGAATATTATATAGTATTTGACAAGAATTTCTTTTTTTTTCTCCCTTTTTTCTTCTCTCTCTCTCTCTTTTCTCTTCTGTTCATTTTTACAGTCTTCATCATTCTCACGATCGAATTTTTTGTTTGACTAAATTAAATAGAATCGTGCAAATAATAACAGCGGTTGTATGCAGTATTATTCGAATGAATCAGCTGGTTTCGTCTATGTTAATAGCGAGATATATACATCTAATCAAAATTCCATTTAAAAATTTCGTTTCCTAGTAACAACCTTCTTTTTACCTGTTAAAAAAGAAGGAAAAAAAAATATTTGCATCAATGACTCCACGACTATAGCGCTTGTGAAAAGATTTGCTAGAAATTTTTCAATAGGTTTTTAATGATAGTCTTTGTATATATATATAAATTATAAGAATTTCACATGTTCGATTTTTTTATCTATGATTATTATTGATGTCTCGTTAATTGATTGAAATCTATTACTTGCTTAAGAAGGAATATTTTACTAAAGATAAATTATTTATTTTAAGTAGTATATGAACCTATGTATTTATTTGTAGAAGATATTTGTATGATTTTATTCATTTGAAATTTGTTTGTTTATTTCATCAATTGAGGAAATGTTTAATCTTTTTTCAAATCGATTTAATTGACGTTGAATAGAAGCTAGATCATCAAATATTTTATTTAAAGTAATCGATTGTTTTGTTGGAAATGTTGAAAGAAAATGATTATGAATATATGTTAGATAATCTTTGATTTGAAGATCAGATAATTGATATAAACGTTCAAAATTAGGAATTCTTCCATGAGATATATAATCTTGAAGCATTACTTCATAAAAAGTAGTTAAATGTTGATCATTTACTAAAATAAAAAAAAAATTAGAAATGATGCATGATATTATTGTCTTAAAATATAAACATATTATTCTGTTAATTATACAAAATATGAATATATTATATACCAATTCCTAATAGATTAAAAACAGCAGCTTGATCACCTGTTGATTTGATATATAATGCACTAACAATTCTTGTACTAATATCTTCATTTTCATTGAATAATCGATGCATACAATGTATTCGTCTAAGACAACGTTCTGGTCGAGTAATCCAACCGGGTAAATGATGTTTCGTCAATGCATAGAGAAATGCATCAGCAAATGTATTACAATTGAAATGTAATAATTTATAATGGACACCCATAAATGCTAGTTCATGTGCTTTTGTTTCGATATCAATATTAGATAATAATGTATGTCCATAGATTTTACTATAAGCTAACATCATAGCAACTTTATTTGGTGTACTAGACATAACACCACTAAAATGAAATGGATGACCATAATAAGTATATTCAGAACCTTCAATTTCAATAGCTGAATGATAAGGAGTGAATAAACCTAATGTTACTAAATTGAATATAGTATGAAGTGAACGATAAGGTGTTAAATAGTAAACATTGAGTCGGATAGAACGTTTTGATGATTGTGTAGAATGTGAGATCATAGATACATGAAGTAAAAAAAGAGAGCAGCGCCAAACATAAAGAAATCAATTAAAAACGATTATCCGTTATTTTACTTCAAAAAAATTGTAATAAATTTTTCAATATTTATTCCATGTAATATTCATTATTTCTTTGATAATAAACTTTTTTTATTATGAAAAAATATTATAAACTATCTAACTTGAATATGAAAACAAGTGTATCATCTATATAATATTTAGAGAAGATAAATTAACAATGTTAGTTCAATTTATTCGGATTATTAGCAAAAATCTACCTTTAAAGCGAAGATCGGTATGAACAATCTCGATTTTGTTTTAAATAATATTTTATGTGGTTGTTGCTTAGATCAAAATAACAAGTATTGACTATGTTGTGTTTTAAAGATTACTCAAAAATAATATGATTATTTTTTTTTTTTTGAGAATTTCTTTGTTAATAATTTTTATGAGACGAGATTATATAAGGTTATTGTGTATTTCTGTCCAATACTTTTGACAAAAAATACAGTAAGTTTGTCTTTTGTATACTGATTAACAGAAGTGTACATTTTCTAGAAGAAAGTCGCTAATCACTTGAAAACTGTTCATTGTTATTCAAAGATCAAATAACAGTAAATATGCTGCGTACCACATTTATTTATTTATCTGTTCTTTCAATATTGTCATATCATATCATTCAATTCTAATTAAAGCATCATTTTGCAAACATTTCTAGATTTATCTTCTTCCGACTCAATTTAAGGCCCTCTCCACCCTCAAAAATTAATCTCAGGCCAGGAACACTCGAATCGCATGAAATTTTCAGGATATGTTGGGGCTGTAGTGGGAAGCCTATGACAGAATTTTCAGCCCTGTACCATGACATTTGAGGGAGATATTGGCCAAACAAGAGTAAAAAAAATAGCTAATTTCGTCTCCAGCACTTCTCTATGGTCTTCAGTCTATACATTTAATTTTTTTGTTTTTGTTTGAAAGGACATGTCAGAATACAGTGCCTATTAGGGCTTTCTTTTTTAAACTCTTACTTTTTAAGGGAAAAAAAGGAACTGAAAATTCAATGACTCAAAAAAAAACTCAAAAAATGACACTCTAATTATGTAAAATGTTTGTATATATAAAACAAACAAAGCTCAGTTAAAAAATCGAGCTCTCATACGCACTGCAGTTTTACACGCTCTTTCAAACAAAAAAAAATTAAATACATAGACTGAAGACTACAGAGAAGTGCTGGAAACGCGATCGAAAATCTATAAAACGAGAAAAGAAGAAAAAGATTTTCGGTTTTTTCTAAAAACAACTTATTTTTCAAACAGGATATGACGAAAATTTTTCAAAATTTTTGAAAAAGACAATGTGTCGAGTGAAAATTTTTGTCATTTACGAGAGATTAGATCACGGGTTATCTTCCATTGTATTTATTTTAATTTCGACCATGCTGACGAAAAGTGATTTTTTTGAAGAGGGAGCTTAAGGATTCGATATTTAATTTCAGCAGTTCCTAACTCAAATAAAAGAACAATTCCATGATATTGTTGGTTCTTATTTATCCACGTTATATCCAATCATCACGTTTCAAGCTCAAAAAGAAAAAAAATCACGATAATTAAGTAGCCAAGTAGTTTTAAATTGTTATGAATAAAATAGTGCTTGAAATTAAATAGTCGTTCATCGATATATTTTTAATTTTTGCGCTCCTTGCTCGAAACAAACCAGTTAGATTAAATTAAATAGTTATTTACTTAGAGATATGAAAAATCAAGAAATAACTAAATCTTTATTAAAATGAACTATATCTATAAAACATCTCTGTTCTCTATTATCTCGATATAAAAATTGTATTTCTTTTAAGAATGAGCCCAATAGAGAGCATATTGTTGATTTTGGCGAAATAGAAATGATAACAAGAATGTTTCTTTTTTCAGTAGAAATCAAAATAAAATAGCATCGAATAATTGAGAATCAGGCTTTAAAATCAATATTGATGATAGACAATTGTCCTTGAATTAATAATAATCTCTATTATCATTGACGGAAAAATATCGCATTGTCATATCTGGTAATGATAGTTCTCATATTTCATTCGATTGTTTTAACTAAATAATGTATTTTCATTTATCAAATTCGAATTCAATCGTTCCTAAATGAAAACATTTTAAGCCTTATTTATATAATAGAAAATGCAATGAATAAGAAAATTAAGTCAAATGAAATTCTTAGCCGATATTGTGATGAATTTATCGCTTGAATTTATTTGATAATCACTGTCAAACGATTCGTCATAATTGAAAGCATCTAATTTTTGTTTTCAGGTGTTTTACACGTGACAGAGAAGCAAGTAATATCGATATTATGACTGAAATTAGAGAATATCGTTTTTTTCTTATCTGAAATGAGAGTCCATATGTTCGATTACGATCAAACTGCAACGCAGTTATGCGTAACTGCGACGCAGTTTTTCGCAATGACGGATCATTGTGTGATTGCAGTTGGTAAAAGAGATGACATAGTGGAGATTTTCATTCTGTTAATATTTTTATTATGACCTATTAATAATTTTTAAGATTTCCCAAAAAATTTGCCCAAAATCAATCATTAGAAAAAGTCAACAAAGAATTCAAAAAAAAATAAATAAGAAAGATTAAAAAAATTTTTAAAAATTAAGACAAGACCTAAAGAAAATAAAAAAAATTAGAAACATTTAAAAAATATTAACAAGCATAAAAATATTAATAATAATCAAAATCTGACCTTGGATTCGAATTCATGATCTTCGAAAAGCTCCCTAGTTTCCATTTTCATTGCAAAAAATGTGCATTCACACTGCATACTCTATTGGTTGGGGCAGAATGAAAAATGAATCGTACTCGTACGGAGGCTTCCTTTTATACGATCTCTCTGTGACTAAGTTTTAGTGTTAGAGTGTGACCAATTGCAAGTACGGAGGAATACTTATGATTGATGAACATTCTATACAGTGAATCGTGCGATGTGCGTAATGCGGCGTAGTTGTGTTTATTTGCGTCGCAGTAGTCGCAGTTTGTGATAGAGATTTGATTATGGTCGATGTACCGCAGTTACGCGCAGTTACGATGAAAATTTCGCAGCTACACGTAGCTGCGACGCAGAATCGGCTCTGCGCATAGCTGCAATGCAGTTATTAAAAAAGAGGCGACATGAGAGAGCAAGAATGCCCTTATAATTCAGGTTATTTTAAGAGTAAATTGATATTAAATTTTTTCTTATGTACTTAACAAAGTACGTTGCTACATTCGTAGATTCGAAAGCAAAAATGTCAATGAAATGCTTGAAACTCTAGACAAAAACAATAAAAAGTAAATCGATTTGATTGATTTATAAAACCTCTGTATGCGATTAATAATTGATAGTACTCATTGTTGTTCATATCTTTTGTCGAGTTTGTTTGGAAAATTTTCTAACAGTTCGTTAGAGAAACCATCGAACATCTGTCAACATGTGCTCGTTCTCAATGATTCATATGAACATCTTCGACCATCTCTTGATTGAGTGATCAATTCTATGATTAATATGAAAAGAAAAAATAAAAAACAAATTCGTTCTATAGTATTATATATCATCGGTTTCCATCAAATAACATGTAACTGATTCTCAGTCCCAAGGTCATGTAAAATTCGGTTATCAAAATGATAAGAGAAATGGTTTAGTAGGACTTTGATATTGTATTATTGTGATTTGTATCAATGTGAAGCAAACACCTGGCTATATATCAAATTTAACTAATGTTTTTTTTTTGTTTTGGTCTTATTGAATTGATAATCAGTGGGCGTCTATATATAGAGGCAATGCATATGCAATTTGTAATCAGTATTCAATTGAAAAACCAAGCACTATGCAAATAATACATATCCTCGTTTTGGTAATTGTATAGTATGTAGCATATTCTATTCGTTCAAATAAGAATATAATCTAATGATAATTTTTTTTAGCTTCTCAAGTACGTATTGTTCTGGCACTTGTCCTTCATATCATATGATTTATATTTAATGAAAAAATTCGTAAAATTCAAACAATATAATATATATCGTTTTTCTTTTTATTTAGTATTTTCCATATCATCATCTACATTTGCTGCGTCAACTGATGGAATTTGCAGGAGTGCAACATGGAATCGTAATGGTATTACTGTTGCTGGTGGAAAGGGACAAGGATCTGCATTGAATCAACTTGCGTATCCTGAAGGAGTATTTGTTGATGATGATGGTGCTATCTTCATTGCAGATAGAGATAATCATCGTGTCATCAAATATATGCCCGGAGCTTCAAATGGTGAATTAGTTGCCGGTGGTAACAAACCCGGTAATAATAGTAATCAACTCTACACACCGTCAAAGGTTGTTGTTGATAAACATGGAACTATGTTCATTTGTGATCGTATTAACAATCGTGTACAGCGTTGGTCTAAGAATGCTAACCAAGGAGAAACAATAATGAAGAATATAACTTGTTGGGGATTAGCTTTGGATATGGAAGGATCTTTGTATGTATCCGATATGGAAGGACACCAAGTTATTCAATGGCCTCAAAATCGAATTGTTGCAGGTGGCAATGGAAAAGGTAATGCCTTGAATCAACTGGCACATCCTTATCACATATATGTCCATCAGGATGGATCGATTTTTATTACTGATAAAGGCAATAATCGTATTGTCAAATGGGCAGTAGGTGCAAATCAAGGAACTGTTATTGCTGGTTTCAATGGTTATGGTAACGGTGTTGATCAATTGTATAGACCCTATGCTGTTGTTGTCGATCAAATGAATACGGCTTATGTTCTTGAATACATCAATTTACGAGTAACACGTTGGTTTGAAGGTGAAAAATCGAGCAGTATCATTATTGGTGGAGATGGTTATGGTCTTGGAGCAGATAAATTAAATTTTCCACGTGATATAGCGTTTGATCGACAAGGAAACTTATATGTAGCTGATGGCAACAATCATCGTATTCAACTGTTTCCAATAGATAAAAGTTCTTGTTATTAATGTAATTTTTACAATTAATTATATTTAATTTAATTAACAATATTACTTTTGAATTTTTGTAGCGATCTAAAGTTATGGACAATTGTTTCAAAATGGAAGCCAATCATCATTTGCAGGAACCATTTTTATTATTTATTTTAAAAAAATAAACTCAGTTGATACAAAAAATGAATTGTCTTCATTTTTATAATCAATCATTATTTACTTTTAGATTCGAATTTTGAAAAGAAGCTTCAATGAGATTTTAGTATGTCCTCGATAAAACTATGCAGTATGACAGAAAGAAAAAAATAATGAATAAACTCTATGAACGATGGATTTTGTTTTTCGGTTATACATACAAACAAAATCATAGATGTATAATCAATATGAATTATTAGATGTTGATTTTATCGATGCAAGATCATACAATTATATCTATCATGCCAATATATGAAAAAGAAAACTTCATCTATGTCATCCTCTATCATCGAAAAATTCATTGCATACGTTAGGATTATTTGCACACGACTATATATTCACTTACAAAGTTTATATGAATATATGCTAGAACATCCTCGATATTTGGTCCTTGAAAACATATTCTTCAGAGGAAATGCCATTGATGAAAATGTACGTCATTCTCAATCGTTGTTTTTGAAGTATAATATTACTAGAATGTAGATGACACTGTGATCCAAACATATTTCGGCAGATTTGAGATAAACTATACACACTTTCATGTATATACACAAAATTGACATTGCATAAAATGCATTCAATTCTCTTCGTAGATAGAAATGAACAAGTAACATTCATTGAGACTCAATTCACTTGATCCTAGACTGACTGGATGGAGATATACATATAAAAGCTTCTAGCTATAAACAAACTTTGAGTAAAGTGCTAGATAAGTGCAAGATATGACTTGATATACAACAGTGACTCGTTTTACAAAATCAATTTTTTCGTTATATAAAACTTGATTTTTATTTTTAGAAAGAAAAACCAATTTTGAATATGCGACATTTATCTAATTAAGTTCAGTTTACATGTGCATTATAACTGTTTTTTTTCTACAGAAATTTTGTCAAATTTTCTCGATGGTCATACTGTTATAACTATATCCGCTTTTTTTTATAGTGTTCTTAACGCCCTATTTTTAATTTCAAATAACAGTTGACTTAAGTAAATGAAAGGGTATAAGTACTGACACTCATACAAAATCCACATTGCATACAATGTATTCAATCCTCTTCGTAGAAAATAAATGAAAAGGGTGCATTAGATTACAGTCAATTGTTCAGACTTTTATATTCACTTTTTCGCATAACATGTTATTTAAAAGACTCTTAATAAATTAAAAATGATAATGATATCAGCTGTTTGCTATTCGTGATTGTTGACCTACTCTTATTTTATTAAACAGAAATAAATAAAAATTCATCATTAAAAAGTAGAGATAAATAAATAAGGTGTCTTTATCCTCAGAAAAGGATAAATAAATTATTCTTTTTTTTCAAAATTAAAACTTTATTTTCAACAATAGTAGCTGTTTTCTTAAAATATATATTTTAGTCAGTTTCATTCTTTATTTTAAAGTAACAATAATGATAAGTTAACATTCCTATAAAATATTAATTGATAGTTTTTTATCAGTTTGATTCCTATTCCAAAATATTATATAATTTGTTCTTTTTTCAAAATAAAACCTGATTAATGATACCATTAATTTATTCAAAATGACTTTCATCCTCCAAACTTAACATTATTCTCGTTACTGGCAAAAGTTGTTAGTGAAATTTTCCAAAATTTTCTCAACCGTTTGTTGTATATTTGATATTCTTTATTTTGAACAATATGAAATTAAACTGAATAATCAGCGTATTTTCGAGACAATCAACATAGACATTCATCTCATATTTTCAAAAATCTAGTGCTTTATGTGATTCTTTCTTTTTGTCACTAACTATCATTAACATGAATAGCAGAGAAAAAAATTGAATGAAGTAGCACGTGAACCATCATATTACAATAAGAAAAATTTATTCATGTAGTTCGAGAAAGAAACAAACAAAGTCAAAAGATAAGTTGCAGTTGTCCTAAAATATCTTATATGTTAACGTAGTTTCCTCTTTGATCATCAATTGCTAATAAAAATGCTTAGTTTTTACTTAATGATAATTATGTAATAAATTATGATGGTATCTATTTGAATAATAATATTTGTTCTTCATAAATAAGAATTTTGCATCGATCGTGTACTTTACTAAAATATAAAGGTAGTTAATTGATGAAGTATTACAACAATATGATTTATTAAAAATCTTGTTCGGTTTGAAAAACAATATTGTGCTTTACAATTTTGATAGTTCATGACTATGATATTCTAGTATGAAAATATATTGGGATTATCTATGTAATTGGTATCAATTTCATTGATAGAAACAAAGATTTCTAAAGCTATGATGACAAAAGTTCTGCAATTCGTATAAGAAATATAACAAGAATGTTTTTTTTTGTTTTATTGAGAACTTTAATGAGGTTCTGAATGTTCACAAAATCAATCACGAAACAAAACAATATAATAAATGTTTAAATAGTTTATAAAAATTCAAATAAAATCATCTTTTTATTCAACTTTGATTATGAATTTCGAGCAATAACAAATTCTATTTGCCCATTTATCACCTGATAAAAATTAAAAAAATACTTTATTTCAATTAAAAAACAAAAAGCAAAACTTATAGGAAGAGTTTCTTAGTAATAATAACATTACTATTATCTTTATTTGTTAAATTGTTTAACGAAACAAATGGTTTTTTGATAATTGTTTCAATTTCATTTTATTGTTTTGTTCCAATGTGAGCAATTTCACTTGTTTCCGGTTCTACTGAATAATAAACTATATAATATCATCAGTTGGATTTAATTTAGCCTAATAAAATAAAAAATAATTATTATTTATATACATATTGCACAAGGCTCGCTTCGATGTTTTTCAACTCGACTTGTAATTTCATGAATAACGATCTTCATCTTTCATCGATGCGTATCAGCTGTACAATCAAGTAAAACAACAAACTATTTATTAAAAGAAAAAAGTTTAGAAAAATTTCTAACAGGAAAAATGGTGTCATACTCCTTGCTCAGCAGTAGCTTCAAATCGTGTTTGTTGTGCGACATAATAAACAATACAAAAATCTTCTGATTCAATTGGTGCATCATTAATAGTTGTTAATTGGATTGTCATCTTTAATTTTTGATAATAATTTTTCGATATCTGTACCAGACATAGCACGAAGTTTTTCAGTAGTCGATTTGACTTTAGCTAAGCATTTTATATTTACAATCAAATAAATATTGATCAACAAATACATACCATCAGCTTTTTTTTCCTAATATTGGATAATTTGATTCAGCACACATTTCATATATGATAAAGTTCACATTCTTGTGATACTATTACTTTTCGTACATTGAAATCCTAAGAAACAAAAATGAACATGAATATTCTAATAGATAAGAACATATTTCTCGAAAAAAAAATCTTCTAATGATTGCATATCTTTTTAAATTGATGAATCTTTATGAATAATAACAAATTCTGGTAATGGATATCAAAATCAAATCTCGTTTCAACAAATCAGAATAAATAATTAACAGAGATTTACTTTAATAGGAACAACTTTGTGTTCTCGTACAATTCTACTCAAATCAATAGTTGTTTGTATAGCAGATATAGTACGTTTAATATTTATATTTACTTATTAATAATTTTCTAAATAAAAATTTTCTTTTTCTTTTTTTGAAAATTAAAGAAAACAAAAAATGAACTAACTATGATTTTGGAATCATTTGAAAATAAAAACTTAAATCTTGTGCAGAAGAAGATGATGATTGAGATATTAATTTTCCTAATACTTGATACATATATTCAGCAAGAAATATTGTAAATTGTTTCATTAATTTAGCTATTGTTAAAAGAATATAACAAAGAACATTCAATGAAATAACACAATCTTCCAATGTTGTTTCGTCTTTATTTATTTTTGGAATAAAGAAGATGAAGATTTATGTAGCCTTGAGAAAAAATAATATTTTATGGTTCATTAGAATTCGAAATTAATTGCATAGCTATAAAGGCAAAACAAAAAAAAGAAATAGTATTACTTAAAAACATTTTTTATTTAATGTGACATACCAATTAGTTAACATATCAATGTATTTAATAAGACGAGATACCATCCGATATAAATGATAAGCTAAAATTTAAACAAAAGTTTATCTTTATTATAAAATCGGTTTTGTCATGTCAAGAAAAATTTATTTATTTATGGAGAACGATTTAATCCTCATCAAGTATCAACAGTACTATATATACAGGGAAATATAAATAAAAAATACAAAAATCTTTAAAATATTTCTTTTTTGTTTTTATATATTACTTATTAGTGGGACATCACTGACTGTCTATTATCAACTTATTATAACACATAATCAATTGTTAGTTTTATTTAATTCGAATTATAAATAAAGTTTTCTACATTAATATATTAAATTAGAGGATTATTTCGAAAGGATTTGTTGTAAAAACTAAAATAAATCTTACCATCCATTTCTTGTTTAACAAAATCTAAACATTTATCATCATAAATAAAATGAATCTTTTTATCAATTTTTAATTGATCATATGATTGAATAAGAAGATGTTATACATTGTACTAAGGTAAAAACACATTTTTGAAGACTATCACAACCTAAGCAGACAAAAATTTTGAAAAACGCGTTTAAACGCTCAGTTTTTCAACGTTTTCACGTTCCAAAAGTGACTATTTTGCATGATAAACGTCGTTTCGTGCGTTTTTTTTAATGAGCGTGAATGGATCACAGTCGTGATTCCTGATTGTGCGTCTAAACGCGTTTTTCCAAATTTTTGTCTGCTTGGGAAAGACCTTCTTCTTTAAATTTAAACGATTTATCTCGAACAACAGATCATGTGATTAAATAAAGTCTACAAATAAAAAACAAAAAAACATATTATTTATTTTTTCTATAACTGTAATTTATCTATCGTAATGCATTAGTTCCATAATTTTCAAAGATTTCTCTTGGGTCAGGATAATTTTTTTTCTTTCTTTTTAACATTTTTTCTTCACCACTTGTTAAAACAATTCCATCAACAGTTAAATTTCTAAATGATGGTTGATCAAATAAAGTCATTAAAATAACTAATAATGTGTAAAAAACCATCCACGTCTTTGATCAATACCTTCAACTATGAAATCAGCTGAAAATGTATCTTGAAATGTTCGACATCTTTCAAATGGATAATGTACTTGTGCATATGGCATGGAACCAAATTCAAATCAACAATAAAATATTTTAGAAACTTGACGTAATAAATCTTTACCTAATCGTGATGGATTTGTGATATTATCAACACTAAGCAAAAATTAAGAATTATTATTTAGAAAAAAAACGAAGATTTATTAAATCTAACAATTCTCGATAAATATAATCAACAAAAACACTAGAACAATTGTTTTAATTCTTCAATTGAACCAACATAAACAATTTAATGTTCATCATCATTCATTCATAATGGTATTGGATTACTCCCATAATGATGTCGTGAAATAGTCCAATCATGTGTATCACGAAGTCAATTTTCAAAATGTTTTTCTTTAATAAAAAAATCAGGTACCCTGCAAATAGAAATATCTTGAAAAACTTTTTCTAAGAATATCTTTTTTAATTACCAATATGTTTTACTATTATTAGTTAATTATCAGTCAATCATTCATTCCACTGGAACAAAATCAAAATGGAACAATACGATAAACTAATGGTGCATCACTTCTACAACAAAATTGATACGAATGATTCTTCAATAATTGACAAACAAGTCTTTTAGCGTATTTTAAATGTTTAATAAAATTTTTATCAGCATCTTTAACATTTTATCCTTGAAAATCTTTTATTTCATCAGTAAATCAATATTGAGTATCAATTGGACAAAAAAACAAGTTCTATATCTTTATTAATTAACATCATTAACAAGAAAAACACGATAATTATCTTCTCCAAAATAATGAAGCTTGATGAACAACACCTGTATCACTATCTTCTGTTACATATTCATCAGAGAAAACTCAAAAAGCTGTTGACATCTATTCAGCTAAAAATTAAAATCAAATAATTGAAAAATTATTGATTGGATTACATCAATTGATATTACGTTCCCAGAAGAAAAATGATATTTTTCTTGAAAGTGAAAAATAACTGAAAAATGGAAATAACACTTACTTCTACTTCACTTTCTTCTACTGTTGAATTTTTGAAATTTTTCATCATACACTTATTTTTAATATCGATACACTAATGCTCTTACAACACAGCACTTATATAGATATTGGTTGACGACTGAAAGTTACCGTCCATTTAGGAAGAAAAAAAACGACTTATGGACGGTCAATTGTTTTCAATAAGAGAAAATTATTTTTATTCAAACGTTTTTTTTTGTCATTGTCTGGTAAACGTTCGAGAATGCTCTAGTTTTCTGTGATATGTCATCATAGTTCATCTAATAGTTGTTCTTCTTTTGAAAAGCTTGAAAAATCAAATATGAAGTGAATGGAAATGGTTATTCTCAACTATTCAGTAGAATTTAAATTGACGTTTGTAAAGAAATAGTGCATTCTATTTCTTCAGGACATACTATTCTTTAATACTCACTGACAGTTTCTGCCGAATGATATTCGTAGAGATGACTTATCATTTTTTTATGTAAGATGATTAGGTAAAGTTAGAAAGTGAAACAGGATCCTTGCAGAATTTCTTCAAGTTCCTGCTCAGATTTATTAATTAACGAAGAATAAGTATAGGAAAATGGTACCCAGCCCTCTACTTCTCTTTAGATTTCATGTTCAACAAGTTTATTGTGCGATAAAGAGTTTGAATTTTTTATTAACGAACATTTATGTAAGATCCAGTCAATTATGAGAAACTTTCTGAAGACAAACTTATTCTAAAACCCAGAACATTTACAAAAATTCACTATTTTATCGATCACATCTGTCAAAAATTCGAAGGAAGAACACTATATGGATCATCAATTAATATCATTACATCTTAGGGTTTCAGTGTGCATATACATAGAATATCTTCAAGAAACAAAATAACATTGAGAAGTACAACACTTTCCTGTACTTTTATATAGATGTCGTTGAACTAAGACGCATGAGAGTACACAGAGAGGTTAGATGAAGGAAGTACATCGTGAATATACAAAACATTTCTCATTAACAACCATACTTATATTATAATCGTTAATATTAATATCTTACAAATTGCATTTTGATTTCCTGACGAAAATCCAAATCCACGTCGTTGTCTCGTGCTAAATTTGTTAATTTTTAGTAGAATCTTCTATGTACTGTTTATCAATGATATACCTTATATCTTATCTCGTATATTTTATTTCTCTTCCATTTTCCACGCTGTTTATGACATATTTACAAGATTGATGATAATTTCGAAACCATGATACGAATAGGAGCACCATCACACAATGCTAGAAATTTGAAATGAACCTGAATTTTACCTAACAATACTTCACTTCGGCTCTGATATTATTAAATATAAATATTTTACAATTAAAGTATTTAGATGATGTTGTTGACACTTTTTATTTTAAAGTCATTTTCTTTGCTAATTTTACTGAAAAGCTACGCACGGTACTGGAATAGCAAAGCATTTATTATGAAGCTAAGTCGACATATGTTAAAAATGCATTATAATAGTGTTAATCAGAAAAATCAAGAATTAGTTTTTACGAGAAATAAACCAGCGATATATATGAAGCTGCCAAAAAATTAAAAAAGTTATCAGCATGTCATAGTGTACTAAAATAATCATACCGAGATAACTCTAAATTCAACTCATACAACTGCTTATTAACTCAATTGGACAATTGAAAAAATTAACATTATAAATTTTTGCATAGATACCACGGAACCTCATTAAATTATACTATTTTATCATTCTTTTGAATTAATTCTGTGTAGTGTTACCACCCAAAACCAGTTGATAATCGTAATCAATTCATGATGTAGCAATAAGCTTAAATTTGATTGGATATTTATTAAAGAAGCATAAGAAAGATATTTTTTTATCTATCACATTATAGAACAATATATATCTAACTTTTCTATTTTCTACAGTCAGAATAAATAGTAAAATGCTATAAAGTACAATAATGATTTTGAAAAAATCTATTACATGCGACTGTTATATGTGAGTTATTTGATATTAAATGAAGAATTATTTGCCCAAAAAAGTCCACTGAGTGTCCAGCAAATGCCAACACTTCTTAATACTTTAAGAATAATACTGGTATGGTAAGACACGATAATTTAGTATCCTTTCTCAATAGATCCAGTCATTTATTTTTCTCACTGATAGTATTAAATTGAGTTTCAATTTTTCCTTCGATTGTACAAAATTAACGTATTCAATATGCAAATCGAGGTAAATGGCTAAAAAACGTGTTTGGAAATGACGACCAAATAAATGAAAACGCATTCACCATCGTTCGCAATGCCTTCAATAGTGTTTACCTGTGCAGAACATGTTCGTATCATTCTTGTCCTCTTTATAGAGGTCATTATCGAATTCGATTGAAAGCCATCAGATATGAAGAGGTATGTAATTGTTAAATTTCTGATGTTATTAATTCAAAATAAAATTTAACCTCAATTACAACGAAAAAACAAATATGCATTTTTTTATTTATTTCATTTTGTAGCTGTATCTCATAATGACTGATGGCAACGAAAAATTAAACTAAATAATAATAAATAAATATCATAGTAAATGAAATAATAAATAATTTAACACCATCAAGTCATACAAACATGAACCTATAATAACATCATAATCTAATAGTAATAAATTTTGTATTAATAAAAATCTAAAGATATCATATAACTATTTAACTCATCAAAAATAACAAAATTCTTTTCCAATACCAAATAAACTAAATGATCAACCACTCAAGTTTTATATTCTGCTATATATCATTAGATTATGATGTTATTATAGGCTAATGTTTGTATTAGTTGGTGATGACTTTAAATTATGTATTATTCCATATATTATTACTTATTTTAATGGGTTGTCTACTATCAGTTAATTGTCTTGTTTTTCTAAGTTGAAAATGACCGAATAAGGTCAACAAACCCCTTTTTTTCATTAATTGATACATAAAATGAAATAAATTAAAAAACTGCATATTTACTCTTATTAGTTGATACTTAATTTAATCTCAAGATATAGAAATTCGTTTTCATACTAAATTTAATATAATGTTTTTTTTTTATTAGAATTCAATATTTATATAGTATCTCTATATTTCTTAGATATATATATTTAATATTGTCAATTTTTTAATCTTATAAACAAATATTTTGGCTCATAGAGTAAATAAGTCCTTCGCACTACTACTGTTCAAATTCATTTCTAAGTTTGTGATTATTTTGGCAAGATATAAATAAGTTCAATTAAATTTAAATAAATCAAAAAGTAAAAAATCTAAAAACAATCCAAATTTGTCTTTACTTACATATTCTATTCATTTTAAAAAATATTGATCAAGATCAACAGAACAATACTACATTAACACTATAATGTCTTGTTTTTGTTTTAGTATCCGTCACGTAATAAACTATGTAATGTCCTTCACTTTATCGTAAGTTTTCATGTATTTTTTCTCTGAATATTCTTACATTTTTAGATTATGGAGGGCAGCCGTTCATATTTGATCAGATGAGTCTAACTTCAACTTATGTTATCATACATTTTATCAGTCAGTTATTTACAAAAAAGGAAATAATTGATGATCAACACGAAACATTTAATCAATGAATGAAAATCATTAAAGGCGACCAATCTGCACCACAGAAAACAACGCTATTTATTTGAATATTGTTCTGAACTACGTTAGCTTTATCTTTTTGTAAAAGTTAAGTGAAAAATATCAGAAGGCAATAAATATGGATCAATTCAAGAAAGAGTCTGATTGATTTTGTATTCGTATCTGAGCCATTTAGCATGAGGATCAGTGACAATAATGAACACTATGAAGAATTTATGAACACGTTTCGATCTAATTATTCGGAATGTATTCTTAAACCATTCTCGTCTATCTGAGATAAGCAAAAGATGAAATGGCACAATCCTGGAATCTTCAAATTTGAGAATTCTTTGCCATGAAAAATAGCCGAGCAATCTGAAGCATAAGTACAAAATCTTGAACTTTCAAGTACTAATGTGTAATTAACACTAATTAAATTGATTTAATAATGTTACATGAAACTGATAGTTGACTCAAATAAGTTACATAGATGCAAAAGAAAAGAATAGCAGTTTATAAATTAATTGTAAACAGAAGTGCTAGTTACGAATATACAAGCAAATGACGCAGGTATACACTATAATTTAAATATTCCATAATAGGTTCAATATTTTTTTGCTCATAACAATCTTTTTATTTGATAGCCTTAATAACAAAAAAGATATTTTAATTTTTAACGATATATGCATATCAAAACAAAACAACCCATATTTATAATAATCTAGAGATTGCTGAATGATTTCTACTTATTATTTCTTTGATATCTGTTTAACTTATTCCTGTCAAATAGTACTTTTAACAGAGTCAAGCTGTTGTTTTTTTTTATAAATTTTTTCGACTAATTTTCGTAGTAATCAGTTTTTACTCGTTCAACTTTAATAGATATACTCAGAAATGGTTATAATCTTGGTCGAATCGCATCGAATACGAGTGAAGGTTTTCTTATTCGTTTCGATCTCTGTCACATAAACGCTACTATGGGTCAGATCAATATCTTGTATATCAATGGCTTGATTGAGAACGATTGAATAGAATGTAAGTCACTTTCTTTTTGCTTTGAGTATCGTATCCTTTCGTGCACTCGGTAATGCATTCATTGAAGCGAATCATCATATACTCACAATCGTTACTTTTCGCTTTCTTTTTACTATTCACTTAAAAAAATGCAACGACCAAAAACGTTTTTTAAAGTAGCTATTAACGGACAACCACAGGGAGTTATCATTTTTGAGGTTTGCTTTCTTTGATTTCAATATTAGTCCCATTTTTTTTCTTAATGTTTAGCTTTTTTCCGATATTGTACCAAAAACAGCAGGTAAATAATTTCTATTATTCATGTAACAAATGGATCATTAAAATTTTTCTTTTAAGAAAACTTTCGACAATTATGTACGGGTGCACGAGGCTTTGGTTTTCGTGGTTGTCCATTTCATCGAATTATTCCTCAATTTATGATTCAAGGTGGTGATTTTGATATACGTGATGGCACAGGAGGTTAATTCATTTTAGAATTGTTTCCTATATTGGTATCTTTTCAGGTCGAAGTGTTTATGGTGCCAAATTTCCTGATGAAAATTTTGCTTTAAGACACGACGTCCCATTTTTATTATCAATGGCAAATTCAGGCCCAAATTCAAATGGTTCACAATTTTTTATCACTGTAGCTCCTGCACCATGGTATAGAAAATCAAAATTAACTTCGTTTCTTTTTTTTTTAAATATGATCATATTTCGTAGGCTTGATGGTAAACATGTTGTATTCGGGCGTGTTCTGCAAGGTCAAGATATTGTCAAAAAAATGGAAAGTTGTGGTTCACAAGAAGGTACACCACGAGCCAATGTTGTCATAGCGGAATGTGGCCAAGCATAAAAGAAAAAAACTGGTTTTATTTATGATAAGAAGGAATAAAATAATTCTTAGGTTAATAATAAAAATAAAGAGACAGATACAAGAGAATTTTCATCTATATACTCATAATAGTACAAACATATCAAAGTTGACTTTATGATGAGATGGAAGCTATAAATTCGTTGACTAAATGGAAACCTAATTTCCATTGACTAAATAATTCACATTATCCTTTACGTTTTACTCGAATAGATATGACGATCTTCAGATACTGAAACATCATATTCTACAGTTGTAATATGATGAATACATTTGTCTGTAGAACTGTGTCTTTGAACTTTTAATCTGCAATTAATATTAACAAAATTAGTATATGAGCCCATTCCAATTCAAGAAAAATTACAACTGATGAAAACTAATATCAAAATAAAACTTATTAAGAAATCGATCTTAATGAATTGTAACTTCTTATTATTCGTGAAAGTAATTAGATCTCGATAAGATTAAACAAAGTATAAAAGTATGATTGTTCGTAATAATTCATCCGGAGTTATGGCCGTCGACTCAATCGTACAATAACGTATTTTGATCTAGAAGATCTTCACTTGATTTTTTTTTTGCTCGTCTTAAGAAAGAAAACCTATGAATTTTAATCATTTTAAACTTTTTCTAATCTCATTGATATTGACTCTCACTGATAATTCGATATCACAAATTGTAAGACAGTTTCCTTGTTAGAAAAAACAAAAAAAAGACTTTAATCAGATTTTCAATCTATTATTTTTTCGTTTGTCCAACTAGTGATCATTACCAGGTGAACCAAAAGTTTTGCGACATTTCAGAAAAATCAATTTATTTGAAGAGAAAACAAAGTAATAAAATAATAATATCATGGTTTAAAAGCTACAAGAGAGTACTACTAGAATTAACAATGCTCATCTATAATCAGTTCACCATCATGTTTTTCCATTGAATACACTCGTCGAAGGAAAACACCAATTACTTCATGTACGTAAGTTAGATCAACTTTCTTTATCGCTTTTTCGAATTCTCGACATAAATCATTGATTGTTTTTACTTTGTTATATGTCGCGTGATTTGAGATGTTATTCCGGATGGAATAATCCAACGGGTTAAGTTCTGGAAAATTAGGCGGTCATCTTTCTTTCGAGATGAAGAATTTGAAGTTATTTTTTGCACCATTTTTGAACTTTTTGACCGGTATGTGAGCTAGTCCCGTCCTGTCGGAAGACCCAATTTTGGTGTTCAAATAGTCCATCACCTTCCTTTTTATAAAATGATAACAATTAATCATAATAACTTTGACTATTCAGCCATGCGCCTTTTTGAAAGAAGTATGGACGTGTGAGTTCATATCAGGTTACAACCAATCCAACCATAATGCACACCGGATATTTTCCATTAGATTTAATCCACCACATTCATTAGCATCAGATCGATTATCAGCCTATACAACATCGTTTTTGGATTAAAACGACCATTTTTTGTAAATATTTTTTCATCGGTGAACACCATTCTTTCTGATCTACCACGACTAATGTGCTTCCTAATCCATTGATAACATGTTTTTCTTATTGGTTTTTGATCTTCTTTTAATTTTTGAACATTAATTGTTCGAAAACATTTTTTATTTAAATCAAAATTGAGTATACTCGCTTGATGATTGTCTTACTACTTTTGAAGTCTTTAGCCATTGCTCGCATACTTTTTCGACAAATGTTGGAATCAAGCCTTTTTTTCACCAAATAGATGAGTTTTTTTGTACGTTCAGTTTTTGGTCTTTCTGACTTTGGTTTAGTATCAATTGAATCAGATTATTGATATCGACGTAGTCAACGATCAATTGTACTTCGATGAACCCTGTTTGCCAGTAATTTAGCAATTTCTGTAGCTTTCTTCCCATTTTTGTAGTGGGAAATAGCCACATCTCGTAGATCCTAACTCTTAACCATCTCAAAATCAACGCAAAGTAATTTAAAAAATATTATCCTATCAGAATGATAAAGAACGTCAGTGTCCACTAAAATTATATAAAATAAACTGGTTATATCAATTAACTAATAGCAAAGAGAGACTTTTCAAAATGTCGCAAAACTTTTGGTTCACTCAGTATATGTGTTATTTGATAACTGAACTCAGTAAAACGAACTAATGAAGTGTAACCGACGTACGTTAAGTACATTTTTTTTCTCATTAATGTGAAGATTAAATCGCAAATAAACATATCATCACAAACAAGAAAGAAAATACAATAATAAACAAAGATGACATCACCTTCAGCAAATGTTGCTTGTGTATAGGGTGCGAATGGAATATCAGGCACAGCAATGATTGATGTATTAATTGAACAACCTCGAAATGAATGGAGTAAAATTATTTGTATTTCTCGACGATCAACACAATTAGATGTTGAAGATGATCGAATATATTTCATTTCCATTGATATTTTTCAAGCTAGTGTTGATGAAATTGTTACAGAATTATCTAAAGTAGGTGGAGAATCTATTACACATGTATATCATTATACATATATTGAAAAACAAGATGAAAAAGAATTAGATCAAGTCAATAAAATACTATTTCAAAAAGCACTTGATTCTACTGTTAAGATAGCTCGTAAATAAATTAAATGTGTTTTACTTCAAACAGGTTATAAAGTAAAAAGAAATTCTTAGGAATTTAATTGAAATTTATAATACTATTGTTTTGTTTCTAGTATTATGGTGTTCATAAAGGTGGTGAATATCTTGCATCTTGTCCTTTCACTGAAGATTCTTCTCGTCATAAAGGTTTGAATTTTTATTATATACAAGAAGACCTTCTTGAAGAATATGCTGGAAAAAATAATTGGAAATATATTATCACACGACCTAATGTTATTATTGGTGTATCAAAAGGAAATTTTATGAATTTTGCTATTAGTCTAGCACTTTATGCTTGTATTCAAAAAGAAAAAGATCAACCATTAGTTTTTCCTGGTAATGAAATTGCTTGGAATTCAATAATTGATCATTCAGATGCATTAAATAATGCACATTTCCAATTATGGTCATCAACAAATGATAAAAATCAAAATGAAATACTTTATATACATAATGGTGATGTGGTCAGATTTCGAACACTATGGTCAAAAATTGAAAAGTAATATAATTTAGTTTATACTGGATTGTTTTATAAGTTAAATTTTACATTTTTTTCATAATTTAAATATTTTGGTTTTACTCCTTATGAACAAAAATTTAACATACAAAAAGATATTAAAATAGGAGATATTGGTATTTCGCAACTATCTCTTGCGAAATATAAGCCAGAAAATGAAGATATATGGCATCATCTTGCTCAACGTAATCAACTTGATGAATAAGCTTTTAAATATGCTAGTTGTAACTTTTTTGGTGAGTAATAATTTATTTTTATTTAGCGTTAATCAAATTTGAAAAATTTTCTTGGTTAGATTTCATTCTAGGTCGAACATTTGATGATCATGGTGATATGACTAAAGCACGTCGATATGGTTGGACAACAACAGTTGATACTAGTAAATGTTATTTTCAATGTTTTGATCGACTGAAAAAGATGAAAGTTATTCCATCAAATTAAATTTTATTGATTCTACTTTTTAATCGAGCTTTTTCTTTGTAAAACATATACTCATGCATGTTGGTAGTTTAAGAATAAGAATATTAACCAATCCAAATTTTTATTAAGAAAAATAAAAATATTTATTTTTCAGTAATGTTATCCATCTATTGATTTGAAAACAGTCTTTTGTGTGTAAAAAAAACAAATCATATAATTGAAACAATTCTTTTTATATGGCAATAAACTTTGTTTCTTCTTTCGTTAGTATCGATCGAAAAATTCAAGTATATTATTACTTATAAAAGAAACGATATTCAAAACAAGAATATTTAGAAACTTTAAAAACAGAAAAAAACTAAATTAGACTTATTTTAGATCTCATTGATTTTACTCTTTGACGAGTCACAAGAAAAAAAATGAAACGTAATATCCGTATAATAGGACTTATTCATTAAAAATAAGAGTATTTTGAAAATAAACAATAATGAAAAAAACATACGTATCTAATTCATCATTTAGGAAATATTTAACTATTTTTAGAATGTTCTAATAGAAAGAAACAGAAAGACTGTTATCGTTCATTTTCAATGGTTGATTTTTTTTTCGCCATAAAGAAAACTACTTCTATTTCGCTTTAAAAGTAAAAAAAATTGGCGAGATGCAATATTTTCGCTTGACAAAATCAAAATTTTCACATTATTTTGCTTTTCTTGAAAAAGGAGTCTTTGACAAAAAAAAGTTGAGCGTTGTCCCTGTTTCCTAAGCAAAGTACGTTCGATTCCATTGAAACATTTGGGTATGGATGGAATAGAGACTTTGCCCACACCCCGACTCACCACACTCATACCCTTTGTCATCTAAGATTTTATCTTTTCCTGCTAACAAAAAAATTCAATTTTGACCGCAATATATGTATAACATAGATTTTATTCCACAAATGAAGAAGAAGACACAAAATAACATGAATGATGAAAAATTGGAAGGTTTTCAATTTCAAGTTTTTTTCTTTAAAATACTCAAACGTAAAGCATAAAATCTCAAAAAATCAATGCACCACCCATTATGTCTGTAGATATTTATAGAAATTCAGTTATTCGATTTACATTAATGTAAGATAAAAAGAATTCTTTTCATTCATTGTATTCAATCATAATTTGAGATTAAAAAGAAAGCTTTAGGAACAGTGTTAAAGAACAAAAACGAATATAGTTGCAACAGTGAAACGATCCAAAAATTTGACACAATTGCTATTGAAAAACTAATAACATCGCCCGTATACACTAATCTTTATTAGTTAAATATAGCATATTCAAAATCGGTGTTTTCATTATAAAAATAAAAATCAAATTTTATATAATGAAAAATCAGTTTTGTGAAACGAATCACTCTTATATTTCAAGCCATCTTTTGTATTTATGTAGCACTTTGTGTACATTTATATCTAGATACTACTATATGCATATCTCTATCTCGTCAGTTGAAAGGCAAGTGAACCAAGTCTCAATGAACGTTACTTGTATATTTAATCGAAATTCTATTTCAATAATGTAGAGAGACTTAACTTCAGGTTTCTTAAAAATTATAATAAGGTAAGAATTCATATTAAAAATGAAATCGCATCAAAGTGAAAGCTTTTCAACTAAAAACATAATTGCACATTATAAATTACGATAGAAAGTAATCCAATGAATTTTTGTTTATTTTTTTTTTAAATCTTTTCCAATTCATTCGGCTTTTCTTGTCGTATTGCTTAGTTCATCTTGTGGTTATTCTATTTCTTGATGCATGAACACACTGCAACTAACTCATCAAGTGTAAAACTATGTTCTGGTGAATAGTAACAATTATCTTTGGCTTATTTAATGCAATGTATCAAAGCACCAATACGAGAATTCATAGATGCCAATGTTTTTCTATCCGAGAAAAACAACTCTTTCGTTTTGCTAGCCGTTAATAATTGAAAACTTTTATTTTGAGAAACAATATCTTTAGACCGATCGATTGTTTGTATTTATTTTGTTTTGTCAGATATTCGAATTATAGATTTTAATTCTTTAAAATGCTATAGAGTAAATATTGTGTCAATACGGATCAATGTAAGTCAAAACTATGTTTCACATTTGTACCCATATGCTAATACTTCTAATTAATCTATGTAAAAAGTAAATCGATTTATCTTATAGTTTTATTTTATGAAGACAAAATAAAGAGAATGTTTTTTGACGGTCAAAATCAAATTAAAAATAGCAATACTGTTATCGATCCGTATATACTTGGATTCAGTAGCTTAAAATGTTCTGTAAATAATCCTTTTCATGTCATTCATTTCCGGAAAAACAATAATGTTTATATATATTAGATAAGACATTCAAGAGACAAAAATGACATACTAACATTGCTAATGTATGTAAATCAACATACACATTAGAGTGTAACGTTAAATATAAAATAGTATGTTTTTTATGATCTGTGCAAATAATACGTTTTTAAATTTAGTCTTGTAAATAATAACTGAGTTCGAGTTTAAAATATTAATCACCAAGAATTTTCGATTATGATTTCAACTTGTATTTTAGTACAATTTAGTAGCAAACAACACACACTTCTAACCGAAAAACTAGTCCTAATTATGGAATTATTGGTAAATAATAATCAATTAATTTAAAAACAAGTATTGAGTTATATTATCTTTTGAATCCTGAAAGACAAAGATTATTGCTTTTGGAAAATTCATATGAAATTTATTTATTTCATATTATTAAATTCAAATAATAGTGGTTTAAGATGTTTAAAGAGTATAAACGATTGAAATTCTCCGAAACCTTGTTAAAAAATCGAACTAACAGAGTCATAGTAGCTTACGTAAACTATAACGCCTAGTTTTCTATCATTCAAAATCTTGAATTAAATAAAAAAAGTTGTAAATAATGCAAATTCGTTTTATAATTTCAAAGGTTTTAATCCATAAATAATATCATGTAAGAAAACTTAAACATAATGATTCGAACTTATTGAATAATACATAAGAAGAAAAGAATAAGTTATTTTTTTAATGATAAAATCGTCATTCAATTGATAATTCCTTTTGTTTTCGTAAAACAATGTAATAGTACAAACTTCAATATTAATATAGAAACAAAATTGGTTATTGATGTTTATAAATTGAATACAAAGATGAAAGAGTCCATCCATAAAAGTCATTCAAGTAAAGATGGAACGCAGGAGGTCAGCAAAAACCTAACAGGAATCAGACACATCTGAACATCTCGATACTTATTATGATTTTTTTCAATTTTTTAAGAGCATTTTTGACGAAATTTTTGAAGTTATATTGGTTTTGATCAGCATTTTAGAAAGAACAATTTCTCAGAATTCTACCTATGACGCATCATTTATGAACAAATCATATATTTTAGTTATTTAATACAAAAAACGAGTATATTTGACCAAATAGATTCTTTCTAACAAAATTTTGAAAACTGGATGTCCTCAAGAGAGGAGATGGAAAAAGGCAATTTTTACCTGAACATCCTTTAATAGATAACTCCAAAGAGAGATATAGTTTCACATATTTTCATTTAATCTATAATCTTGACTATTCTTTTTTTGAAAATCATATGTCTTTTTATAAGCAATAAATATATCAACATAAAATAATTATTTACCAATCGAATTTCATATATGATTTAATTTTTCATTTTCAAAGCATAATATTTTGTGTTTCTATTTCTTCTTGAACAACATACACGGAACATACACACGCACACACAGATACAGAAACAGACAAATAAAGGATTCCTATCTACAATAAACGATTTTGTCAATACCCCGAAAAACAAAAAAAGATGAATATCAAAGACTGAATTGACAGAAAAAACAAAACAACAACAACATATAGAAATCGGTTTTTTTTTCTTTGTTTTCTCGAGTCATCTAAGACAAGATCAATCATGACTATTCATATGGCCTGTTGAAATATGTTATTCTTCCGTCTATCTGACACGAGTACGAAATAAATTTAAATTATGAAGAAAAACAAACGACGAAAAACAAAAAATACAGTCAGGTAGAAAGAGAAAGAGAGAGATTTAATTAAATTGTACATGAATTTTTTGTTTTCATTAAGTAACAATTATTGTTGAAGTTGATGTCGATGATGATACTGTTGATATTGATAATTGTTTACATCGTGCACATTTAAATTCTTCTTTTTTCTTAACACTTGTTAAACCAACACAAACAAGATGAAACCATCGTTCACATGCATCACAACAAACCCCTTTTACATTTTAATAGAAAATTTAGATAGAAAAAAAAAACAAATTCTTTTAAAATAAATTATATTTACATTTAATTGATGATCCACTAGGTTTTAAACATGTTCCACCATCAACTGCACATTCATCTTCAACTCCACCAACAATAGTTCCTTTTTTTGTTTGATCATTATCATCATCTGATATAAGTAATGGATTATTATCATGATCAATATCAGATTTAGGTGACGATTTTATTGATGTTTGTTGTATATCAATCATTGATGAAATATAAACAACAGGTGCAGATGTTCCTAATTGATTATCTGATAAACGTTGATCAGATAATATTGATTTACGAGAACGTTTACGTCGTACAGTTTTTTCTTTAAGAATAATGAAAGAAAATGAAAATACTTTTTTTTGTTCTTTTAATACCTGTTTTAGAAAGAATTTCATATGATTTTCGTTTACGTATTATTGTTGATTTAGGTTTTTCTGTTTGTGAACGAGCATTTTTTGGTTTCTAAGAATAATGAGAAAAATCTTCTTTTGTCTTTTTTATGATTTATTTAATTATATTTTAAACATACATCTGATGACAAATTTGATCGTCGTGATGAATTAACTAATTTTGTAAGCAATTTTATTTGATCAACATAAATTTCTAATAGACCACCTTCAATAAGTAAATTTTCTAATTGATTTTCAGCTAAATTATTTAATGGGCGAGATGCTATATGAAGAAAAATAAGAAGATTTTAAAAAAAGAAAACAAAATAAAAATTACTTTCAGATTCGAAATTTCGTGATTGTTGTTTGTTTGAATCATTGACAAATTCATCCTAATAGAAAAAACAAAATATTTTTTTAAAAATCTTGTTCAATAAATCAAGTCTCCGATGAAAGACTTTATAAAGAATAGAATCACTAGAATACAATGTCTAGACTTGATCTCATTACGTGAAATTGCAATAGATATCCATTCAAAATTATATTTAAGAATTACGAACGATTCAACTCAATCAGAGATTCCAAAGTTTCACTTGCACAATAAATTTTTTTCAAAGATGATTTTCCTACTATCATCTTATCAAAGTCTTGGAAGATTTCATTGGAAAGTCAGTCGAAAAGTCTTAATATCACATTAAGAAAAATTACAATAAGGCTAAAAATTTGATTCTATACCTAAACACTTTACTCTACAATGTGGAACAGATTTCATACAAATCCAAGAACTTGATTGAATATCGCTATTAAATTTTGACATTATTCATTACTTTACTTTTACAATTTAACTACTCATGTCTATGAAAATACATTTAAATAATCATTTCATATTGCAAGACTGAATAGAATTGTATAGTATAACATATATTTAATCTTACCTTAATATTTTTATTTTCTTGTTTGACTGTACTCAATTCACGTAGAACAGGTGAAGCAAGAAATGCTCTTAAAATAAAATACATCAACATAAATTTTTTCAAAAATTCTTTTTTTTTTCTATTCTTTTACTCGGCTTTTTCTTGCCATGCAATAGCTCGTTCTGTTAAACACTGTAATATTTCACCTTCAGGTAATCGAACTGTTAATTTTTGTAAATTTGCAAGAAGTTTAACTACATCTTGAAGACGTGGTCTTCGTGATCGAATACAAAAATCACATATCCACCATACAGATGTATTAACATCTGAACCATGATAAGGTAAACAATGGCCTTTTCAAAAAAACAAAAAACAAGTTTTCCATTAGGAAAAAAAAACATTATATTAACATACGATGATAATATTCATTACATAAGTCACATTGAAGCATTAATTCAGAATATGGTTTTTCACATATACAATATGTTAATGATAAATCAAAACGTTTCTTTTGATTATTTTCACGTAATTCATTAAGACATTCAATTTCTTTCATTGTTGCTTCTCGATAAACTTTATACTAAATAAAACTCCATAAATAAGATTGTAGAAAAAAAAATTTAACTACAACATATTTATAGTGATTTTAATAGCCAATGAAATTTTCTATCGAATACATCCTATAGCAAATCGGACACGGTAAATCTTCAGATTCCAGAAGCAATTTTTTTAGTAATGCTATTTTAAAAAGCACAAAATTCTGAATAAAATGACGGATCGTTGCATTTCCTATGATCTCCTCTCAAAAGTTATAAGCATCACAAAAAAAACGAAATCTATCAAAAACGTGCCTTGTGTCAGTTTTTACGATAACTTTTAACCTTTTCAGAGAAGGTCATAGAAAATGCGACGACATCTTATTTTGTTCAGAATTTTGTGTTCTTTAAAATGACATTGTTAAAAAATAGCTTCTAGGATCTGAAGATTGACTGTGTTTGATTTGTTATAGAATGTATTCGATAGAAAATTCCATTGACTATTAAAATTATTATAAATAGATTGTTGTTAAACTTTTTTCCATCATCTGATATTGTTAAAGAATTTTTAAATTTAAATTTTTCTTACCACAGTTTTTGGATCATTCTCATCACTAGCCAGTACTTTAGCGATTGTATCATCTAAAATTCCAATTGATTCATTAATTGGTCCATCACCTGTTATTCGTTTTGAAGCTTGTCGTTTTTTTGTTATTGTTTTTGGTGCAACACTTATACGTGGTGTAATCATCTATTTAAAAAATTTTAAAAACAAAATTCTTTTTTTTTTTTTCGTTTTTATTTAAAATTTCAACCTCAATTAAAGTTAAATTTGAATCTGGTCGACGAAAAACTGTTTGTGTTTTTTCAAGCCATGAACGTGCTTGTAAAATAGTTTGTTCAATTAATTTTAATGGTTCCAAATCAATATGAAAATGTCGAGCGTGTTCATATAATTGTTCATATGAAGATAAAAATGGATAATGTTCACCTTGTTGCATTTGTTCAAATTTTTCATTCCATATATGACATTCACTAATTAAAGTTTTTATTTTATCAATTGAATTTAAATGAATATTTGCTTCATCAGCACTTTTAACAAATTGTTCTAAAGTACTTAATGTTGGACGTGGCCTAAAGAATAAGAAAGAATATTTTTGATAAAAGAAGACTATCGAGATTTATCTATTGCTTTTATGCATGAGAGAAAACTACTACATGAATTTTGTTTTTGATATAACGTTGCAATGCAATATCGTAGAAATGTTAGGCAAAAAAAAAAATAAAAGAATTTGATCGAAAGTTTTTTTGTTTTTTGAAGATCATAAAAGTCTTAGAACAATAGGTAATAGGAAAGTCTTCCGCAACAACTTCAATCACAATATATTTGTTTGACTTTTTTGATTATCAACTTTCGATATTCTCCAGCATTATATATATAACTTTTGATTACAACGACGGCTTTCATATGATATTAAAATAATTGATCAAGACATATAAGAGATTGAACAGGAAATAGTTTAGTTGAAAAATTGATATGGCATTTATGATGTGAAAACAAAGTTTTCTAACAATTTCTCTTTTGACGTAGACTTGAAGTTTTTTTTTGTCTATGATCAATAGCTAAGGAGAAATCAGTGGTATCGGAAGATGTTATAATAATATTTATATCCGCTATAGCAAACTTTTTTATATTGTATGAAGTTTTTCTAAATTAAAAAAAAACTGTGAAAGAGTTATTCAATATCTTTTGTTCTAAGGCAGTGATGACCTTCAAAAAAATATTTCCGATCAAAGTCTTTGTACTAGACAAATGCAGAACTTTTGCTCCGTCCGTTATAATAAAAGATGACAAGATTTAGAAAAAAATAAGTTATAAAAGCTGCTCTTTACGTGTATTATTGAGTTTTATGAATTAGACAGATTGATGTTTAGAGTTTGTAATAAAGATAATATTTTGTTAAATGAATAGTTTGATTTATACAGAACTTTATTTTATTTTCTTTCTTCTATCCTTAAAAGAAATTAAAATTAATTTTCAAAAGTTAAAATTTTCTAAGTTTATTAATAATTAATCAATCGTCATCAAAATAATTATATCATTTAAAAATTTTTTCTCAATAATATTTCATAATTTTTTCTTTTAAACTTAAATTCTATTCAATTGTAAGACTTATCATATAATCTAATACTAATATAGTTCTACTGAAATAACTTACTCTTCTTTAGTTAATTGTCGAGATTTTTCATCCCAATATTCTAATTGTTGTAATTGTATTTGTAATTCATTAATTTTTTGTTGAATTTGTTGATGTAATGCTTGAAATGTTTGTCCAGATGATATTAATGATCGAAGTTTACTTGGTGATATTGTTCGATTTAATGTTTTTTGTACAAGTTCATACCAAATACTAGCTTGATAGAATAATTTTAAACGTTCAATAATTGGTAATTCAATATGATATTGATTACTACGTTCAATATAATTTGAATAAATATCCGTTGATTGAAGTTTATCTGATTGAAGTAATGTTTTTATTTCATCTTGATAATGAAGACAATCAGTTAAAATATTCTAAAAGAAGAAATTTTCAATTAATAATAATCATTAGACAAAACAAAAAAAAGAACCATCATATATATATATATTACTTGAATAGTTTTCATTTCATTAAATGTAATACCAATTGATTTTACTCGATTTTTTAATTGATTTATATCATTTAATGTAACTTTATTTTCATCATTAAAATTTTTTTTCTTTTTATTTAAATCATCATCATTATTATTATTTTCTATTAATTCATCTCTAGAATAAAATAAATTATTTCATCTATTAAATAATATTATTATTTTATTCTTACTTGGATGTTATACGTTTTAAAATATTTTTTGCCATTTGTCGATATTCAATAGCTTCAGCTAATTTTTCTTCCATTTTTATACGAATATCATCACGTAAACATAATACACCAGATGTCGTATGTTTTTCAATATCATTAAAATCTATCATACAAAATATTGAAATCGTATTCTATGATTAATCAAAACTAAGCAAAAGGTATAACTTATGAGGAGCGCGACGCTCTTTTTTCTAGCACTCAATCATTCTTCGCCCCCTATAGTGTGCATTCAGGAGAACATTAGGTAAAAAAATGAAAGTTACTGTTTCATCGATTCAACCAGCGATATATACATATATTGTAAGACATGCTCCAATGCTCCATCTAATTGGGTAAAAATTTTTGTTACGAATTGTTCAGCAGAGTGGAACAACTAGATTTCAAAAATTAGCTTGAAAACACTGATATCGATGAGAAAATTAAACGATCTGATAGACGCATCAAGTAGATATTCTGCAACTGAATATTGTCTAGTATCGATTATTGAAGAAATCTTTTAATTTGAATGTATAATTTTTTTCTGAAATTAGTTTTCGGAATGATTAAGCTCAGGAAATAGCGAATTCCAAGGGAATCCTGAATTTCGGATTCTATAAAATTCTAGAATTCCACTATTTACTCGTTCAAAAATGCACACTATCCCCCGTCTATCTCTGAAAACTAAAGGTAAAATTGTTTTCGATTTTAATTTACAAAAAAGACTATATCATTCTTTATATCGAAAAAAAAACGAAACATCATTGATTTATCGTTTCATACCGATAACATTTTGGTGATCATTTGAAATAAGTCGATTAACAAGTATTTTCCATTTTTGACAAAGATCAAGACGTTCACGTAATGCATCAAGCATATTTGACATTTCATCAATTGTATAACGATACCATAAACAATATTTTTTTGGTGAACATGAACATAATTGATCAACATGATTTATACAAACAAGATTATCTAAAATTGTTAATTTATCAGAAAAAAAAAGAAATATTATAAACATAAATAAACATACTTGGTTTACATAAACAAGATATAGCTGATAAGAAACATGTTGTTTTACAAGCATCACATTGTCGTTCATCATCAGGCATTAATTCAAAACAAACTCGATCACCATCTGTTACTCCCTTTGAAAAACAAAACGATTTTATTTTAGAAAAAAAAAAAATAAGAAATTTTTTTTTTATTAACAAACTTGTTCGTATGCTAATTTTCGACTATTTTTTTCTTGTTTAACAATATAATCAAGTTCAAATTTTGTTGCATCACCTATAGCTGGATCAAGATATTGACATTCTGATGCAAGTTTACATATTAATTCATCATGTGAAAATACACTATAACGTTTCATTTCTTTATAATGATCCATTGCACAACGACCCATCGGAAGCTAAAATATATGTGAAATAAATATCAATTAAAAATACTTATATGTATAAAAATTTACCCAATCAGCTGGACAAAAATTATTTGCTTCAGCAAAATTAAAACCTTGATTAAAACCTGCATGATAAGCACGAGGAAATGTTATAACAAATTCTCCAGCATGTTGATGTGTTCTAACAACTGGTACTCCATCATGCATTAATACTGATGGATTCATTGTTGTAACAAGATGATGAAGAAGATCAGGTGTTTTAGAAAATAATTCTGGAGCATATGATTTCATACAGTTTTCTAATTTTTCAGCACTTGAACCCGGTACACCATACCACGTTTTTGGTTCACCCCTAAACAAAGAGTTTTTAGTACAATTCTTGCAGGTTAAAAATATTAGCTCTTGCTGCTAATCACAGGAAGATTACTTTATTTTATCTATTTTGGGACACATTTATTCACTATCTTTTTACTTTATCCTCGAGAAATGCAATAAGGAAGTAGTAACGAGACGTTATTGATATATGGTCTTTGATTGCATATTAGCAACGTCTGTCACAGTCTGTGGGAGTTCAAATTTTATACCCCTAAAGAATGTTCTATAGGTTCTGGGCCTCAACGAAAGTTCATTTATACGTAAACAAAGAGTGATCCGTAGCTAACTGTACCTATATGAGCTTCAAGTGCTTAGGACAATGTTTTAAATGACATATTATTCGATGACATTATCTCTTGTAATATTAGTGATATAAACAGAAGAAACGTGATAATTAAAATCTCGAAATCGACCAGTATTTTTTTTCTACAGACGTGTTAATAAACTATGAATGCATCATATATAACGTAACACAATTATACAATCTGATACGTAGTATCTAAGGGTGAGTATAGTTATCTGCTGGACGAGAGATCGTCGGGTTGATTCTGGACCCACACTCTACTTGTCAGGTTTTATCTGTTTATATTACTTTTATTATAAGAGATAATATCATCAGATAATATGTCATTTAAAATATCGTTCTAAGTATTCGAAGCTCATATATATAGTTAGGTAGGAATCATTTTTTGTTTACATTTTTCGTTAAGGTCCAGAATTTATAGGGCACCTATTATACTTTAACATTTATGTTAGATTATGTTTCACAAAAAAAAAACGGATTATAATAAAGAATTATCTTTTTATGATTTTTTTTGCACATACCAATGAAGATAGTTAATTGAATATGACCAATGATCTTCAACATGCCAACAAAAACAAGCAAAACACATACCAACATAAGCCCAAGGAACCTTTTTTTCGAAATAAAAATAAAAAACAAATACATAAATCTGATGAATTTATTAATAATTTTACTTTCATGCCAGATATATCAGCATTAATATATCGTAAAACAGATTTATAATGACAAGCAAAATTATTGAGATTCCATGGAGAATTGAGATATTTCTAAAGAAAAATTTTATATGAAAAAAAAAAACATAATTTTATTCAGGTGTTTTGGTTTCATTTACTTTATCATTTTCAGTTAAATCTTTTGTTCTTGTTGTAGGAAATCCACTACCTAATTCACCTGTTTGTAAATCTGCTCCATATTCAATTTTAACGGATGCATCCGGTAATGAAAGTATACGCCAAAATTCTTGTTCAACATCATCACACGATATTTCCTAACAATTTATTTAAGAAAAAAAAAAACTTTGATTTTTTTTCTCTAAGAAATAATGACATACTGATAATGGCTTTTTAAAATAATTTCGTTTAAATTCATCAGCCATTGCACCAAATTCTCCTAATGTATATTCTTTTCCTGATTGTTCAAATCCATAAGCATCCGTTGGTGTTGCTGTATGATATAACTTTAAAAAAAAAATCATTGTTTTCATATGAGAGGGAAAGAAAAAAATATTAATATTTAATTTACTTGTGCAACACATTTAGGACATCGCCATTGACCACGAGGAATTTCGATTAAAGCTGGAATAAGACAATATGTATGATAGCAATTATCACATATGTCACAAATTAATAAATAACTATCATCATCACCACGTGTACAAGATTTGCATACAAAATTAGCAAACTAAAAACAAATTATTAATTCTTCTTTTTTTTAATTGTAATTTAGAAGGTCAATATTTGTCTTTGTTTTACTGTTAGTAATGAAAAATTTGTCATTTTCATTAAGCATTTAAAAAAAAATGATGGCACAATAAGCAAAAGAATAAATAATAAAAATTCTTTGTAAATCATCATTCCGTTTTTATATTAGTTTAGTGGATACATTGTTTTGCATTTGTCTATGGATGTTAGTAGTTATTTCAATATTAAATAGATCAAGTTAAAGTAAGAGAAAAAAAAACCATTCTTCTACGTTGCAAATTTTCACAAATCCATTTAAGATATGCCAAGTATTGGCCTAGTTTATTTACAACAACTTGTTTCTATCCGATCGTTATATAATATTCTTAGTTTTAATCATAATGATGTCTTCTATATTTTACATGTTTTGATTCGTCAAAATTTTTAATGTAACTGAAAATTTAATCCATTCCATTTCTGTGCTTCATGGATTTATCATACTATTTCTCTACAAAGGGATTACCTGAACTAGCACTCACACTGTTTTGGCCTATCTCGGTGAGATTAGCAAGAGTCTAAAAGGATTCGTTCCCCGGTGCCTTTGCCACCGAGTTATGATCAGTTTACTGGATTTTTTATCTAAAATTTTGCCTATAGATAGGCTTAATGACTTCTGAAAGTTTTAATCGAAAAAAAAATGTTCCTTCGTCACAAAAATTGAATTCACTTGAAAATTCAATAACTTGACGAATGAACATTTAAAACTTTCAGGATATTCTAAGACTCAAAATATCTATCCTTAGACAAAATTTTGAGTCGAAAATCTCGTAAACTAATCATAACTTGGCGTCAAATTCGGATAGTACGCTCGTTAGATATTCAATAAAATGTGTTGATTTTATAGAAAATATTCATATGTATGATAAATTCAATTGCAGAAAGTGTTATCTGTAAAATTGTTTTATTTTTGTCGTGCATTCTATAGATTTTACTTGCGATTAATCATTAAAAAAAAAGAAAATATAAAATTTTATTTTCTTACCGGATCAACATTATTTGTAATTGATGGTGGTGAAA